TGAAGTAAAACATAATTGATCAAGAAAACAACCCAACAAGAAACAGATCTTAGAGAAACTTCCTCAGGAAAGATTCAGTTTTCCTTGAAGATACTATTTTCTCTCTAAAATTTAATGTACTTTCTGGGAGACACTGTTGATTCACATGTTTACATTGCATATTAGCCCATCTCAAGAATTACAATTTTTGTTTTTTTTTTCAGATTTTTCAACTTGTTGTCAGCCACCCAGCCTTTTCAAAAGATGAAGATTTGCAGAAGGTTTTGAAAGAGGAAAATGTGAGTTTTTAAATAATAAGATAGTCTTACAGATATTTGGCCATGATCCCTGTGAGTGTGGGTGATTTTTCCACAAAATTTGTAAACCGACATACTATGGCAAAACAACACTTGATTTAAACTCCATAGGTATATTTTTCATAAAATCAACAATAATTGTGACTATTTTCATCTTAAGGGGTCATAAATGTTTTAAAGATAAAATCAGTTGACACAACATCCACTGAGCCACCTCTAAGGAACTATGTAGAAATGGAGTGAAAATTCAACTGCAATTTACTGCAACAATAAGCTCTTCCACCAGTCAATGTTGTAGAATGGTGTAAAACAATTAAAGAAACATTGTACATGAGAAAAAGAGTTAAAAAGTAAGGAATATAATTGGTATGCTATTCCAGAATATTGCCATTTCAATGGTAGTGTGTTGACAATTTTCTCGCTGATTGTATGTATATGCCTGAAGGGGATTTTTTTGTGACAAAATGTCTATTGCAACTTGGTAAAACTAAGTTTGATAATCATTATTAAACTCCTTGCTCTGAGAAATTAATCAGACTGGCTATTCAACTCAGTGACCAGTGGCTAACTGTTTGTCTATGGCATCTCTCATGCTCATACACTTACAGTGTAAAGAATAACACTTTTTTATTACATAGCTTGCAGTCAGAAGCAAAGTGAAAAAAAGGTTCTTATGACAAGTTTATCATGAGATGTGGATGATTTCATGCATCATAGTCACAAGGTACAAAATGTTCCATGGTTTTGATGTTTTTTTTGTTTTGATTTTTATCTAAGAAGTCTTTTATGTAGTAAAATTGTGATCTCACTGGATTATTGTTTTAATTACATACAGTGTATGTCTCATTCAGGGCTGTAAAATATGAATAATTGTAGTTTGAATTAGGGTATACAGATAGACAGTGTTTTAACTATTCACACCCTAACATCAGTATGCATATTCTCCACACTTTTTCTAAACATTTTCTAAGTTGCTGACGTGGAGAATTTGTCTAACAATCAAGAGCTTCTGTAGTCAGTGATCAGCTCCTTTATTCTCCTGGCCTTAATGTTTGATTCAGTGGGGATATGGTAAGGAGAAATTAGATGTCAGTCACTTTTAGGGGTTAAACTGCTGAATACTTGGTCCTTCTTTATCAGTGTTAACCCTTTAACTCCCAAGATCTGATTGTAAATTCTCCCCTTTAGCTTCTATTACGTATTTCCTTATAAATTAGTTTTGAGAACTTGATACTAGATCAAGATAGCAGCTTCTACCTGACAAGTTTGAATATTCTCATTACCTGTTTGCTGAATAATGTATGGATATTATAGGGAGAAGTTTCATGTTAATCACTTGTGAGAGTTAAAGGGTTAAACCCTTTACAGGCCTCTCACCAGCTCATGTTGCTCCAGGTCTTATTCTCTCCTGCAGGTGAAGAAGCACTTTAGCCAAAGTGCAATTAACCCTTAAACTCCCAAGTCTGATTTTCAAGTCTTCCCTCTAGCTGCTACACTTGTCCTTGTAGATTAGCTACAAGAATTTTGTGTTCAATCAGCTTAACATCTTGTACCTGATGAGTTTGAGTATTCTGATTACCTGTTTGCTGAATAATGTATGAATACTATGGGAGATTAGTTACATGTTTATCAGTTCTGGGTGTTAAAGGGTTATAGAGGCCCTGCTCACAGATGACCTTCTTTTTTTTTTTAATTTAACCATTATGCGAATAACTTAGCCTTCCTAGAAATACTAACATAGAAAACAACCCAACAAGAAACAACAAACAGATCTTGGAGAAACTTCCTCAGGAAATATTCAGTTTTTCTTGAAGATACTATTTTCTCTCTAAAATTTAATGTACTTTCTGGGAGACACTGTTTATTCTCATGTTTACATTGCATATTAGCCCATCTCAAGAATTACAATTTTAATGTTTTTTCAGATTTTTTCAACTTGTTGTCACTCACCCAGCCTTTTCAAAAGATGAAGATTTGCAAAAGTTTTTGAAAGAGGAAAATGTGAGTTTTTCAAATAATAAGATGCTCTTACAGATATTTGGCCATGATCCCTGTGAGTGTGGGTGATTTTTTCCACAAAATTTGTAAACTGACATACTATGGCAAAACAACACTTGATTTAAACTCCATAGGTATATTTTTTCATAAAATCAACAATAATTGTGACTATTTTCATCTTAAGGGGTCATAAATGTTTTAAAGATAAAATCAGTTGACACAACATCCACTGAGCCACCTCTAAGGAACTATGTAGAAATGGAGTGAAAATTGAACTAAATTCACTGCAACAATAAGCTCTTCCACCAGTCAATGTTGTAGAATGGTGTAAAACAATTAAAGAAACATTGTACATGAGAAGAAGAGTTGAAAATAAGGAATATAATTGGTATGCTATTCCAGAATATTGCCATTTCAATGGTAGTGTGTTGAAAATTTTCTCACTGATTGTATGTATATGCCTGGGGGATTTCTTTTGTGACAAAATGTGTGTTGCAACTTTGTAAAACTAAGTTTGATAATCATTATTAAACTCCTTGCTCTGAGAAATTAATCAGCCTGGCTTTTCAACTCAGTGACCAGTGGCTAACTGATTGTCTATGGCATCTCTCATGCTCATACACTTACATTGTAAGGTATAAACACTTTTTTTTTTTTTTATTTACATAGCTGGCAGTCAGAAGCAAAGTGAAAAAAGGTCTTATGACAAGTCTATCATGAGCTGTGGATAATTTCAGGCATCATAGTCACAAGGTACAAAATGTTCCATGTTTTTTTTTTTGTTTTGTTTTGATTTTTTATCTAAGAAGTCTTTATTTAGTAAAATTGTGATATCACTGGATTATTGTTTAATTACATACAGTGTATGTCTCATTCAGGGCTGTAAAATATGAATAATTGTAGTTTGAATTATGGCATACAGAGAGACAGTGTTTTAACCCTTCACACCCTAACATCAGTATGCATATTCTCCACACTGTCCTCTAAACATTTTCTAGGATGCTGACATGTTTAACAATCAAGAGCTTCTGTAGTCAGTGATCAGCTCCTTTATTCTCCTGACCTTAATGTTTGATTCAGGGGGGATATGGCAAGGGGAAAATAGATGTCAGTCACTCTCAGGGGTTAAACTACTGAATACTTGGTCCTTCTTTATCAGTGTTAACCCTTTAACTCCCAAGATCTGATTTTAAATTCTCCCCTGTAGCTGCTACATATTTCCTTATAAATTAGTTACGAGAACTTGATACTAGACCAAGATAGCAGCTTCTACCTGACAAGTTTGAATATTCTCATTACCTGCTTGCTGAATAATTTATGGATATTATAGGGAGAAGTTTCATGTTAATCACTTGTGAGAGTTAAAGGGTTAAACCCTTTACAGGCCTCTCACCAGCTCTTGTTGCTCCAGGTCTCATTCTCTCCTGCAGGTGAAGAAGAACTTTAGCCAAAGTGCAATTAACCCTTAAACTCCCAAGATCTGATTTTTAATTCTTCCCTCTAACTGCTACACTTGTCCTTGTAGATTAGCAACGAGAATTTTGTGTTCAATCAGCATAACATCTTGTACCTGATGAGTTTTAGTATTCTGATTACCTGTTTGCTGAATAATGTATGGATATTATGGGGAGAAGTTACATGTTCATCAGTTCTGGGTTTTAAAGGGTTATAGAGGCCCTGCTCACAGATGACCTTTTTTCTTTTTTTTAATTTAACCATTATGCAAATAACTTAGCCTTCCTAGAAATACAAATAACCAGAAGTTGTTCCTCTTGGTTAGGATCTTGATGAAGAATTTCAGAAGAAAAGAGATTTTGTGGAGGAGTACACACCACTTACCAAGGAGACATATGGGGTCAGTAGTTGTTATATTTTTCCAAATAGAATCTTACTCCAGGGGTGCATTATGGTTCAGTCATTCTCTTTACTGTTTGCCATAAAATTCATATGATGTTTGTTCAGAGAATTTGGTTTTGGATCAAACATACAGTGTATGTGTCATTCAGGGCTGTAAAATATGAATTTTTGTAATTTTAATTATGGTATACAGAGAAACTGTTTTAACCCTTCACACTCTAACATCAGTATGCATAATCTCCATACTGTTCTCTAGACATTTCCTAAGATGCTGACATGGAGAATTTGTCTAACAATTAAGAGCTTCTTTAGTCTGTGATCAGCTCCTTTATTCTCCAGGCCTTAATGTTTGATTCAGTGGGGATATGGTAAGGAGAAATTAAATGTCAGTCACTCTCAGGGATTAAGCTGCTGATTACTTGGTCCCTCCTTATCAGTGTTAACCCTTCACAGGCCTCTCAGCAGCTTGTGTTGCTCTACTAGGCCTTATTCTCTTCTGTGGGTGAAGAAACACTCTTGCCAAAGTGCAATTAACCCTTAAACTCCCAAGATCTGATTATTAATTCTCCCCTGTAGCTGCTACACATTTCCTTGTAAATTAGTTACAAGAATTTGGTGTTCAATCAGGGTAATATCTTGTACCTGATGAGTTTGAGTCTTCTCATTACCTGTTTGCTGAATAATATATGGATATTAAAGGGAGAAGTTACATGTTCATCACTTCTGGGAGTTAAAGGGTTACAGTGGCCCTGCTCACAGATAATCAAACTTTCTTTTGAATTTAACCAGTACAAGAATGACTTGGCCTTCCTAGAAATACAAATAACCAGAAGTTATTCCTTTTGGTTAGGATCTTGTTGAAGAATTTCAGAAGAAAAGAGATTTTGTGGAAGAGTACACACCACTTACCAAGGAGACATATGGGGTCAGTATTTGTAATATTTTTCTAGGGGTGCATTATGATTCAGTAATTCCGTTAACTTTCTGCCACACAATTCATATGATGTAAGCTTGGAGAATTTGGTTTTGGATCAACTAACAATCAGAGCATCACTTGCCTGCTTGGTGTTGTATTGATGTGGTGAGGAGAAATAATGTTTTGGTCATGCATGGGTTTAGCTTCTAAGTAAGATTTGACTAAGTAAGATTTGACAATTTTGAGATTATTTCCTTCAATAAATAAATGTTTTTTCTACTTATGTTTTTTTGTTGAACTTCACCAAAATGGTACACAGTCAGCAACGTATGTAGCAATGTTTTATTTGCTGGAATGTGTAATCTGCATTAAGGTTGTGTAGGCTGAAATAGTGAATTAAAACTTCAGATCTCATGATTTTGGTGAATGGTCCAGTCCAGTGAATTTTAACAGAAAATATGGCCAAAACATTGATATCTAAAGAACATTCATGTGAAAACAACATAAGGGTGGCAAAGACATACTTGAAGTATTATTCAACCATAGAGTATTTTAATGTACTAGGATGTTGCAAAATATATGATTGTTTTTGATAACATATGATAATGTATGATTATGACAATCTCACCATAATGGCATATTTGTACATGTATATGTAAGTTTGGTAATTTTGAATTTCTTTGTGAATTTTAGGTGTTGCATTATAGCAGTGAATGATTTTAGTTCTGACATCATGACAGCATCTGCTGGTGATGATAATAGTACCAAGGAATTGAAAGGGTTTGTTGTTCTTTGTCTGAAATTGCTAAATGATATAATTTTGTAATAATTACTTAATATTTATTTCATATCTTTCCATTATTAAACTGTTGTGGCAAACTTCCAATGCAAGCAATCATGGACCAGACATATAGTTTGGCTGATTTTTTTTCCCATGTGAATAACCACTGTTTTACCTCATCTTATATGCTAGCCCTACTTGCTGTAACCATCATGAGAACTGAAAATAAGAGGCAAACATATTTCCATATTTTTGAATGGTTAAGTCAGCTTACAAGACCCATCAACACCTTATCCCGTATGCAGAAGTGTTCTTCTTCCTCTCTTTTGAAGTGATCAGCATCTAAATTCTCCTCACCATATCACTGCTGCATAGTACATTAAGGTCATGAGAATAAAGGAAATGATAAAAAAAACAAAGAAGCTCTTGATTGTTGAACAACTTCTCCTTGTCATTGTGATAGATTATGTACCAAGAACAGTATTGAAAATATACACTCTGATGTCAGGGTGTAACAAAAAGCTAATTTTAAAAACTATTTTTAGCTTCACAGGAGTTTTGTGCCTTTTTCAAATGCACTAATTGGTGTCAAGGTATGGTAGTATTTTTAGACAGGATCTAGTGTTGCTGGCAGTATTTTTCAATTCAAGAGCTTAATTTGTTTTGTCTTATTTGTGTGTGTCATCTTCTTTCTTAGGAATCACTGAATGTTATGTCCACTACTGATGACATCACATTAGGTTTTACTTTAGAACTTTATTCCAGATACATGCTACCAAGGTATGTGAAATATGTATTGGAAAACTTAGATCTTATTTAACTCTGTAAAGGATAACGGCTTTCCTTTCATGGGTGGGGTTAGGGAAGGGGAAAGGAGGTGATTATTTTCTTCTGGGGTGGGCCAGGATGAGAGCATAATCACAGCAGAGAGAAAAGTTCAGGATCACTGCATGTCTAAACAGAAATTCATCAGCCGGACTGTTGACTGATCAATTTTCCGTTTCCCGCATGGTTTGGGATGTTTGTCTTGAACAAGAAGACTGGGTTTTACCGCCTCGATCTTTATTGCATTAAATTTTTTTAGTCATAGGCAAAAATAAATGCATCCATGTAGCACAAGGGAGTGTTTATCTGGAGAAAAAGCGCTCTTGTATTGTTAACCCTTTGAGGGAATTTGCATTTCATTTTGTATTGCTGTGCAAAAAAGGAAAGGAAAACTTTCAAACAAAGACTGGAATGGTGGAATGCTTTGCGGTATTAGTTGAATCTGGAACCATTATGTACAGATGAGCTGAAATGTGGTACTTCCAGATTGCAATTCCAGTGCCTTAACTTTGAAAACCCATTTTCACTATTAGTTTATTTTTCTTGCTGTACCTAGATGAACATTTTAACTGTCTAATGCACTTGTTTTGACCATTTCTAACCCAGCAGAAGATGTGTTTCTGTCGTATGTGTAAACTAGTTGAGTTTGAGAATGCCACAAAAACACTGGAAAAAGCCAAACCCAAGAACCAAGAAATGGTAAGATTCAGACAAACACATGCTTTGCACATGATGTGCATTCTTTTGGTACCTCCCTTTTGTTTTGTTAAACATGATTGAGTGTTTGCTTTCACCTGATTCACATAAGGCTGCTCATCCGCTAGCAAAAGAATTGAAGGTCAAGTCAAGCTTTTGAATGATTATAGTGAATGCCACAATTATAGAATGCCAAATTGTTTCATGCATGCTTTTTTTATTTTCAGCTTCAAAAAGCTAATGACGATGCAGAGGAAGCATAAAATTCAATTTCAGAAGCTGCAAAGAATGAGGTGAATAAAGTGATATTAAAAAACCTTTTGTTTTACTTAGACTTTCTTACTGTTTAGCTGGAAAATTTTGCATGCTAGCCTTAACTGGTGGCATTTCTCAGTTCGTTTTACAGGCAGACCACCATGCTGTTGGTTTACATGTAAGACACATGTCAAAGGATTATATGAATATTTGTGCTGTTTTCATGTTAAAAATCTGAATATTAAAAAATTAGTATATACCACACAAGTGAATAGTGCTTTTTGCGCATACTGATTGATCAGCTCAAAAGTGATCAGCAAGTACTATTAACCTCCAAGAAGCCGAAGAGACAAAAATACACACGAACAATTTTTTTTCCAGACTATATTCGGTGATTTGGCAATGAATACTTTGCGCCGGTGTATTAAGCAGAGGCAAAATGGTATAAATAATAATAAAAATAATAAATAATTGTTAAGGGCACATAAAGGGAAATTGTCATGTGGCTGATCTAACTGCAGCAGACAATCTGCTTTCTTGATTGATTTTAATTCTTTTTTAATATAAATGATCTGTTACAATAGGCAAAGGGTGTTGAGCCTGCAAGCCAGTCTTATCCAGTACGCTGAATTGCGGTTAAAGAATACAAGAGATACCTATGCCATTTTGGCCAAGCTATTGCATGACATGAAAAAATCTGCTTAATCACTCAGTGCAAAGAAAAGAGATGACACCGTAAATTGGTAGCCAAAATTTATTGTTAATTTTCTTTATGAAATTGGATTATGTTAATTTGACATGGATAAAACAAAAATAATTTTTAAAATGACACAAGGTTGTTTCAGGCATTGGCTCACTCCAGGTTAGTAAAACAGAGGGAAGACTGGCACAGAAAAGTGAAACAGCGAGAGAAGCTTGGCTCAAGTGGGATTCATTGAGTGAGTCAACCCAAGCCTCCCTTGCTTTTTCACTTCTCTGCTCCTATAAGTGGCATTTACTATCACACTTTGTTTTACCCACTAAATGCCTGGAACAGGCTATTCAGGCACTAATCATAACCATTACAATTTCTTCAAATGTGATTGGTGCACTAGCTGCGTTATTTTTCTCTTATCTTTCTGTACAGCTTTAATTGGACAGCGTAATTGGACAGTTGGTTGTAATCGAACACCTGAAATTGGACAGTTGAAGCAACCAGTTATACTAAGTCCACTCAGCCAAATCCACCAATCACAGAATTAATCACAATAACCATAGCAACAGCCACTTATCCTTAAAAAAAATTTGAAGAATTTCCAAAATGGAGACATATTTTTTACTTTAGACATTGCCTCTACCAGAGATATTTGACCTAAATGTATTTGTTGTTTTCGGAAGTTGTAACAGTTATGATTAATTGGTAACAGGACTTGTTGACATTGAATTCTGTCTGTAATCATACTCATGATTGACAAATTGGACTCCCACCTTGCAGTCATCAAATTTTTTCAATCACTTGTATGATTACAGATTGAATTGGACTCGACTCAGTCCTATTACTATTATAAATTGGCTGGGAAATGGTGGCAAAAATCTAGCAATGACTTAAAAATTAATCAGCATATCTTTAGTGACAGGAATAAATTTTTCAATTTTGTTAAGGCTCCCAGCCTTGAATCAAAGCCCCAAAACATTCAGTAAACACTTAACATGGTGAATTTTCACCTTTATCTTATTTCAGACCTTTTACTGCAGATCACAATTAAACTGAAAAGTGAATGAATTTCTTTAAATCTCATAAAAGAATATTTTTATTAATTTCAAATGAATGGGTTTAAAATGTGCACAGTTTTCTACATACTTTTGGAGTATTGGACACTCTGGAAAAAAATTCCTTTCCAATCCTCTGAAAAGTACCTAAAAATTGATTTCGTTTGTAGTGAAAAGCTTTTAAAATTTGTATTAGATATAGCAATGGTAGGCTTTTGTTTGAATTGCTTTATAATTACCTGTAAAAGGCAGAACTTGACATTTTTAGTTGACTTCAATGCAAATATACTTCTTATTGTGATGTGTAATTTGTTTTATGTTAGAATGGGCCATATACAATGCTACTTGTCCTTTTAGCTCTACCAAAGCTCTTGCGTCTTGAAATTGGTGACTCCCCCCACCAAGCCCCCCCCTCCCCTCCCCCTCCCTCCCCACCCAGCTAAAAGAGCCACTTCTGGAAGTATTACTGACGTAAAAGGCATTGTGAAGGTCGATTGAAGTCCTTACCCTCATTAACGAGTTTTCCACACCCTTCGAAAAAGAGGACTCCCTGGGGCCGGGTCATTAGTTACTCCCTGAAGGGGAGGGTGGTGCGGGGTGGAGTATTTTGGTTTTGGAACAATAAAATTTACCTTATCTCCCTTTAAAGCTCCGTGGTATTATATTGATCTTCCCTAATCAGCAGTCAATCTTCTACAGTCCTTCTTTCAACTCCATGTGATCCCACCCCCCCCAAAAAAAAAAAAAAAAAATTTCCCCCAACCTCTCGGGTTTTAAAAATGACTTTTCCTTAAATATCGTTGATTATCCTGAATTTTTAAGCACGAAACGAATAAATTCCTTAATTACCCTCCTCCTCCTAACCCTACCCCAGCTTTCAATTTAGTCATCTGCAGTTTGAATGCCGATAAGATCAGGCGCAAATCTGTCTGCCGGTGACGTAAAAGTCAACAATTTCATCAGATATGCTGCGCTATGCAAATTCGTGTCAGTTTTGTTCGTGGTTGTTTTCAAGCAATACTTTGTCATTTTGCTGGCTGAAAACGACGACGTGTTCCCTCAATCGTTCCTGAAATCCTTAAAGAAGTAAGTATAGATCACTTGTAAGCTAGATTTGAGACGCAAATTGCAACTAGTGTTCAATTACAACGAGACATAGCTTAGCGTGAGATCCATGAAGGGTGTTGTTACAAATTCTTGCTCGTATGCTCAAACTGCAAAGCTTAGCGGCTTTACGAACTAGTTCAACCCTGCTTCATTTTAATCATTTACAAAATGCTAAATCGATTTCGTTTTGCATATAACAATTTGGGAATTTGTCCTTTATTCCGTGGAGAACTATGGTCTCTCTTAACTTGACGGAATTACTACGATTCTCGATTTGCTGAATTTCAAATCGTTTGAAAAGACTGTGGTTATTCATCGTCGTCAAGTACAATATTAGATAAAGTATTATCGTTAAATGCGCTTTGTTTTCACCTCGGATGTACAGATCGGGACGTTTAGTTTGGAAGCACACGGTTAGGAGTCTTCTTCGTGCGAGCCCGGTCATCAAGATCCACAGCGGCAGTGAATAGATCGAAAGGGAGACGCTAGCATTTATCAGCCTTAGTTGTTCCTCAAGGCCCTGAAATTAGCCTCGCTGGTAAGTAGATTGTATAGTGTAATTTAGTTGTTTCTGTGGCAGGCCAAGACTTGCTAATTCTAAAACTGAAACTAAACATCTTCCTGTCTTTGGACAACATCAAGAAATACATTAGTCTTCGATCCAGAGATCATTGTTTAATGCGCTTGTTTTCACCTGTGATGTACAGATCGAGACGTTTGGATTGCAAGCAAACGGCTAGGAGTCTTCTTCGAGCGAGCCCGGCCATCACGATCCACAGCGGCAGGGAAAAGATCGAAAGGCAAACGATAGTATTTATCAGCCTTAGTTGTTCCTCAAGGCACGGAAATTAGCCTCCCTGGTAAGGACATTGTATTATTGTGTAGTTTAATTGTTTCTGTAGCGGACCAGGACTTATTCATTATGGAACTGAAACGAAACATCCACCTGCTTTAGGACAGCAGCAAGAAATACAGTACTAGTCTTCGATCTCGAGATTGATAAAGGATCATGAACTTTCTTGTCGATGTCGTCATTGTGTATGTTTTGATGTTGGGGAAGTTTTGCGAATGTATGTACGAGGACACCGTAGAAACAAACTGACAAAAAAACTCCGCAGTCGATCAGAGATCTTTTCGAATTCATCGTTGTCCACAAACACTTTCCTTTAATTTGGTAACCTTACATGCTCTTAGCTGGCGGTGTATTTTGATGAAGAAATTATAAGTTGTGTTATTGCTGAAGATTGTGAACTTCATGCAAAATTGTTCGTTCGAAAGTTTTTCCTTCGGTAAAAGACTCTCAATTTAAAACTTTCTCCTTGTTTACTCCAACAATTGTTTCAATGCCGTTCAAAAATAAAATTTGAGCGGCACATTCTAGAAGAAGACATGCGAATATGGTTGACCTCTGTTCAAGAGCTTATTCCAGTTACTTGAAATATCACACCAGACACGACTACAGCTAGAAAATCGCCAAATTGAGTATTTTCTTGATGTTGCCTTTTGTCTGCCTTGAATTCCAAGAGGGAATGTGGAATTGTGTGCAAGTAAACCCCCCTTCCCTTCTCCTCAGAACCCACTCCTGCCGATTCGAGAATTTCTTAAGGTATTGCTTTAAGGACTGGGGGGGAGCTGATGTGCTTTCCTTTTTATAATTTGTTCACCTACATCGGACTAAACAGCTCAGCTTACACTTAACGAATCAACGCGCAAATTTGACGCTTGCGGTTATCGACGCCAATCAAAAAGACTCAGTGTCACTGGCTTATTATTTGTTAGGGTCACAATACGTAACACACTGCTTTCACTTTCGTGCTCTTGTTTACGAGTTGAAGGCTGGTTGCGCATGAGCAACTTTTTGTTTCTTGTCTTGCCTGGTTGAAATTTTGACGCTTACACGGAAATCAAAACCAACTGTTGTACTTATAGCATAGATTCTTTGGAAAAGATTTTGACAGTTTGTTAAATAAAGCTTTTTAAAATCTAATGTTTTATCCATGTTTCTGCTCTGAAAAGGACTTCGATCAAAACATTCTTGAACATAATTTAAACTCGATTGTTGTAATAATCACGCAAGGCACGCGTGCCTGAAGTTTGCCTCTTTATCCGCCACCCCACTTTCGCTACTAAACAAGTCTACCAATAGGACCGGGGAAGGGTCATATCTCATACCCAAAGGTGAGCAACTCCTTTGTTGTCCTCATTTCAGTTATTTAATCCTCAGTCACTTTATGGATTCATAAATTGCCATTCTGATAAAGGACTTACATCAAAACATTCTATAACAGGAGAAAGAAACATCGTTGACCTCTGTTCAAGATTTTACATTTTCTTGCTTGAAAAATGTCACGCCAGATATGCGTACAGTCAGCGATTCACCAAAATTTAGTATTTCCTTAATGCTGTTCTATTATCTACTTACCATTTATGAGAGCAATGTGAAATTGTGTCTAATGCGAGGAATTTTTTCACCGACTTTTATGAGGGGAATTTAAATTTGAAAAAAATTAAGATTACTGGGTCGAGGCACATTGATGTGTTATTTTTTCTGCGGGCAAAGCGAATTCAATAGTTGTTAGTAAAACAGTCGATATGATGCCTGCAGGGTGTAGCTATTTAGAGCGGTGAATAAGGTGCATTGCGACAAAGCCGAATTAACTTGCGCTTTCAAGTTCGTTGAGTGTTTTGTTGACTATAGAACTTGGCTTACATTCGTTACCGCAAATAAAGTATGCATACCTCACTAAAAGTTTTCATAACTTTGACAACAGTAAATACACCTAAATTCACCTTCATGAAAATGGTTTGTGGCAGATACAGCTCCTCTTAAGTGAAAAATTAATAAGCGAACTTTCGGCGCAAAATTATAATGTTGATACCATATTCGATGTTAAGAGATGAGACAATTATTTAGAGGAGAATGAGCTTGATGAGATTGTAACAAGATGAAATTTCATGCCAATCACTGTGATTTATTCATCGTCCTTGGCACAAGTTACTCTAAATCAATGAAAATGTTATTGATGTTATTTTTATACGCTTTATGATTCTATCTGATACTCAGAGTATATCAGCTAAAAGAATGAATTGCCATGTTTAGCAGGACAGCAAATTTAAAATAAGGAAACGCGGATTATCCTCGCTTCAATTTTATCAAAGCTCCAGACATTTTGGTGGGAGAACTATCCCTTGTTTTCAGAGTTCTTTGAGAAATACCAGTTGCGGAAAGACTGCAACAGCTGAGCAAAAAAAGACTTCAAAGCATATGAGATGCTGTGTCCGTGAGATCACGGAGGAATAAACAGCAACACAAAGTAAATTCCTCGAATCACTTACTCTTTTCGTTAAGTGTCTTCTCCAGTGGACTTATTCCAAATGTCAACACTTCATAGTAGGTCGCTTATCATTTCGTATGGATATCTTGGCTTAATCAGGGAAAGATTTTCTACTATGACAATATTCATGGAAGTCTACCCTTCATTTTGACTTTTCTTCAACGATCAAATCTTTCAGGTGAGAGCAACCAAACGTACCAAAGAGAAACTTAACTATCTTGTCTCAATTGACGCAACGCAGTAACCTACCCAATAAAGTAATTACTTTAGCGAATCAAGAGGAATGGCCCGGTGGTATGAAATCATATTCATCTGATCAACGCTTTAGAAGTGTTGTCCTTTGTATTTGAAATTTCTCGAAGTTTTTTGCTGGTCAATTTAATCTTCTGGATAACACATCGACAAACTACACTCAATACTTGTCAACTTCCATGTAGCCCTGCGTCTTTTCAGTAAGAAATCACAGATGAAATCAAAATGTGGTGAGAACAAAAAAGTGGCACACGAAGCGCAGAAACTGTTTAGTTTTCTTTCACCGGTCTTGGTGATCTTCCATGTTTCCCAACCATATAGCAGAACCGGTCGGACTAAGTCTTGAACAGGCGTATCTTGGTTCTCCTCCCTATTCCTCTGGCTGCCCACACCTTCCATAGCCACTGGAATGCGCCTCGTGCTGTCTGCGGTCTGTTCTTAATATCTCCACTGCCTCCACCTTCTTTGTCTACAATGGCTGCTTCCTCCTTCAATCTCCCTGTCTTCACTCAAGGCTTTAAACTTGGATGAAAGTAGAGCGATGTCGTCCTGGTCTGAGATGTTATTTTTTAATTATAAGTATCTGTTCAGTTGTACTGTCATTTGGTCTAAAACCAGCCTGCTCTTTTCGAAGCGTCTTGTCTACACCTCTCTTTATCCGCCCTAGCAGCATCTTGTGGAATATTTTACTGATGATGGGTAGCAAAGTCACTCCTCTCCAGTTGTTGCAATCACGAGAATCACCTTCCTTCATTTCCATCTATTTCCTCAATCTACTCCAGTTCTCCTGTTTCTTCATTCTCTCCCACTGGATTTGTTGGGTCATCTCTGTTTAAAATTTCACTCAAGTGCTCAACCATCTCTGCAATCTTTCTTTTGATTCTGTCTTAAGCACCCCTTGTTTGTCTTTTACACATATTTTTTGCCTCCTCCGCTCTTAGTTATGCTGTATAGCTCGATTAAGGCGCAATAAAATCCTCCGTATATGCCTACTATCACGCTCATTATCTTGCGCGGAATTCCATAGCTCCCCATGATGTTCCACATGCTTTCTCTGTGAACCGAGTCGAAGGATGTCTTAAGCACCCCTGTTTGTTTGTCTTTTACACCTACTTTTCGCCTCCTCCGTTCCCCGGTTATTGTCCTGGCTATGCTGTATAGCTCCTTGTTTCTACCATTCTCAGCAGCCTCTTCCCCTCTCCAACCAATTCCTCTTATCCTCCCCAGCACTATGTTTCACTTCCTTTTCTTTCGCACTATACTCCTCTCTCCATCGCTGTTTTAGTCGTTCCGTTCACGCACACTCTATTTTAAGTTTTGCCTCTTTCCCTTCCTGAATTTTTCCCGCCGGCTTTGGCCCAAGAGCGTCATTACGGCCCCAGCAGCAACACCCCCGGTTTGAGTTGTATTGTCAATGCATCCGGCTTCTGTAACATCTGTTTCTTTCTAAGGGGCAGGGTCGTTAACCTTGCGTCCATCCTCCAACTTGAGTTCCAGGGGATCACTCTTAGTCTGGTTTTTACCTTTCGACATGTTCGGCATGGGTGACTCTACCAGGAGTGTAAGACTGTAGCCAATCTACCTATCTACCGATTTCGGTAGATAGGTAGGTAGATAGGTAGGTAGATAGGTAGGTAGATAGGTAGGTAGATAGGTAGGTAGATAGGTAGGTAGATAGGTAGGTAGATAGGTAGGTAGATAGATAGGTAGATAGGTAGGTAGATAGGTAGGTAGATAGATAGGTAGATAGGTAGATAGATAGGTAGGTAGATAGATAGATAGATAGATAGATAGGTAGGAAAGAAAATAGAAAAGGAAAGGAAAGGAAAGGAAAGGAAAGGAAAGAAAAGGAAAGGAAAGGAAAGGAAAGGAAAGGAAAGGAAAGGAAAGGAAAGGAAAGGAAAGGAAAGGAAAGGAAAGGAATAATCCTATTGGGTACTAACATAACTATGGTTTTAATAGGATATAACTGATAATGGCCACTGTGTTGAAGTACACCACAGAGCAACTGAATTACTACAGGATTTGTTACGTTGTCACTGACATACTAACTGAGGGTCTGCGAACCATCTTCAAACAAGAATGGGACAATCGATACAAGACAACACTGGGAGAATGGAAAGATCAACCCAAAAATGGAATGGACTTCTGGAATGGCGAGTCTACTCGAAACAGAAAAAGAAACGCTGGGTTGTTGACAACCATGAAGAATGGTGATAAAGCTGAATGGGATTGTACCATGCTGTTTTACGCTATCCTGTATTCAGATTGCATATATTCTCTCAATCCATCAATTAGATCAAATGTGGATGACTTAAGGAAATTCCGAAATGAAGAATTTGCACATATACCTCGGGGCCACCTCTCCAACGGAGATTTCCAAAATGTCATTACTAAGGTTAAAACTGCATTCCACGCACTCGGTCTCCAGACATTGAAAATCAGTGAAGTTCAAAATCAGACAAACTTCTTAACGGAGGAGTTAAACGATGTTTTAGGGAAGGCTGACGACTTGAAACAAGAAGTTAAGGACAAGGAAGAGGAACTTCAAGTGAAAGAAGAACAGAGGCTTGCCTTAGAGGAGCAATTACATTCCAATGTCTCTTCATTTTGCATCCTCCCTCCCAAACCTAGCCACGACATCGCTCCTCGGGAATCTGAAGTTGGTGAAGTTTTACAAAACCTCCAAACACTAAAAGACGCCAATGATGGGTTGAGCATGCTGTATTTGTCAGGAAATCCAGGAAGTGGAAAATCTCAGCTGGCCCGTTTAGCAGCCAAGCGATTTTACGACGAGGTCGAACAAATACCTTCTGCAGCTTCATTTGTCATGATGTTGAATGCTGAAAACTCAGAAGCACTTTTGAAATCGTATGTCCTTTTCGCTCAACATTGCAAATGTCCCGGGTATGAAATAACAAACACTTACGGCTCCAAGGATTTGAACACAGACGAGAAGATTTCATATTTCAAGACCTTAATAAGTACAAAAATTGAGCATTACACTTCATGGCTGTTGGTAGTTGATAATGTGACCAGCATATCTCGTACAAGCAATCATTTGCCAGATGCAGGAAACGAGCTGTGGGCAAGGGGTCAGATGCTAATAACAACACAAGACACTGCGTCTATACCGTTGTCAAGCTCTTCCATACAAAATATCTCAATCAGCGCAGGAATGCAACCTGATGATGCGTGCTTTCTGCTTAACCTCCTTTCTGGTATCTCAGATGCCAAGATGGAAAAAGAAATTGCGAAAGAACTAGACTACCAGCCACTTTCATTGGCAGCCGCAGCCACGTATGTGAGACAAGTTCGTCAGAATAAAGGAACCTCGAAATTTGGCTGGACCGACTATTTGAAGAAATTGGAAGAGGGGAAACGAAGCAATACTGAAAGCATTCTTGCTGCGACAAATCCAGCCTATCCGCAGACCATGACCAAAGCAATAACACTCGCTGTCGAAATGGTGATGGAAAATGATATAATTTTGCATCACATGTTCCTTTTTCTTTCAATGTGTGCATGTGTGCCGATACTGCAATACATTATTATCGAGTATGTTAAAACAACAGATGACGAATTTGAAGATGAAGATATGATAAGAACGAGGATGAGTCGATGTTCACTGTTGCTAATTGAAGAAGAATCAACTGGTGTTTATATTCGAGTCCATGGTGTCGTTCTTGATGTTATTAAATCTGCGACAAAAGGTTTCGCAAAGGATCAAAGCTACAAAGTGGTGTATGGCGCGGTAATGTCTTTCTCAAAATTTGAAGAGCTGGAATCTATTGTTGTGGGAACAAGAATAGTTCCCCATCTTAAAACGTTGAGCTTAAAAATTGAAGACATGTCGCTCGGGAAAGGAATACCAGAAGCGACCAATAGAGCCTTGTGTAATTTTCCGTATGGCCTTTGGAGACTTACTGACATGTGCCTAAACCACAGTGAGTTTAGAGCAGCGCTAGTCTATGGTAAATGGCTGTTAAAAATTCAGATGAAACAGCTGGGACCTGAGCATGTTGATGTTGCACGCTCTTACAACAATCTGGGTACTTTATACAAGGCTCTGGGCGACACAGATGAAGCAAAAGACTGGTATAAGCGTGCACTGGAGATTCGTCTGAAAAAGCTGGGACCTGAACATGTGGATGTTGCAACCTCTTACAACAATCTGGGTACTTTACACAAGGCTCTGGGAGACACAGATGAAGCAAAAGACTGCTATAAGCGTGCACTGGAGATTCGTCTGAAACAGCTGGGACCTGAGCATGTTGATGTTGCAACCTCTTACAACAATCTGGGTACTTTACACAATGATCTGGGCGACACAGATGAAGCAAAAGACTGCTATAAGCGTGCACTGGAGATTCAGATGAAACAGCTGGGACCTGAGCATGTTCATGTTGCAGGCTCTTACAACAATCTGGGTAATTTACACAAGGCTCTGGGCGACACAGATGAAGCAAAAGACTGCTATAAGCGTGCACTGGAGATTCGTCTGAAAAAGCTGGGACCTGAACATGTGGATGTTGCAACCTCTTACAACAATCTGGGTACTTTACACAAGGCTCTGGGAGACACAGATGAAGCAAAAGACTGCTATAAGCGTGCACTGGAGATTCTGATGAAACAGCTGGGACCTGAGCATGTTCATGTTGCAGGGTTTTACAACAATCTGGGTACTTTACACAAGGCTCTGGGAGACACAGATGAAGCAAAAGACTGCTATAAGCGTGCACTGGAGATTCGTCTGAAAAAGCTGGGACCTGAGCATGTTGATGTTGCAACCTCTTACAACAATCTGGGTAATTTACACAGTGATCTGGGCGACACAGATGAAGCAAAAGACTGCTATAAGCGTGCACTGGAGATTCGTCTGAAAAAGCTGGGACCTGAACATGTGGATGTTGCAAGCTCTTACAACAATCGGGGTAATTTACACAGTGATCTGGGCGACACAGATGAAGCAAAAGACTGCTATAAGCGTGCACTGGAGATTCTGATGAAACAGCTGGGACCTGAGCATGTTCATGTTGCAAACACTTACAACAATCTGGGTAATTTACACAGTGATCTGGGCGACACAGATGAAGCTAAAGACTGCTATAAGCGTGCACTGGAGATTCGTCTGAAAAAGCTGGGACCTGAACATGTGGATGTTGCAACCTCTTACAACAATCTGGGTACTTTACACAAGGCTCTGGGAGACACAGATGAAGCAAAAGACTGCTATAAGCGTGCACTGGAGATTCTGATGAAACAGCTGGGACCTGAGCATGTTCATGTTGCAAACACTTATAACAATCTGGGTAATTTACACAAGGCTCTGGGCGACACAGATGAAGCAAAAGACTGCTATAAGCGTGCACTGGAGATTCGTCTGAAAAAGCTGGGACCTGAGCATGTTGATGTTGCAAGGTCTTACAACAATCTGGGTAATTTACACCGTGATCTGGGCGACACAGATAAAGCAAAAGACTGCTATAAGCGTGCACTGGTAATATATACCTTCAAGTATGGTCAAGAACATTCAAGGACACTAGAGGTCGGGAGGAAGTTATCTTGGCTAAGACAGAAAAGAAAGAGAGTTGATCGTTGTGCTGTTTTATAAAAGGAGAAGAGACTCGTGGTAATAGTTTAGTAACTGTGCTGATTCATAGACGTTGTTAGTCTTTAATTTAGGTTTACTCGTTGTGTTTTTTTAGCACGTGAGAATTAGACCGTTTTAATTTTTTCATAATATCTTGCATAATTTGTGCTTTTAATATTCCAATCTGGAAACTCACTAAATCGATTAGTTTTTTTATTTCTGAAGAAGTAGTTCATTGCTTTCTCATTTCTTAGGTTGCTACAAAAGGTTGCAGTTCTACGGATAATAAACAGTCAGAATATGCACCCAAGTAAAGAATTTCTTAAGTTGGTAATTAATGCTTTTTTTTAAGAATCTTGCTCTTTAAATTGATGATTTTTATTCATATTCATAATTAAGAGAGAATATCCATAAAAGCGGTCCGGCCGATCTAGCTTGAAAAATAGATTTCGCTGATTTCTTGTACATTGAAAGACTTTCATGTCCTTATTCTAGAACCACAATCCACTTCATCTGATCTTTTAAATTTATCAAGTTATGAAAGATTTTCTGATCACCCCAGCGAACACTCGTGGCGACCCATGTCGAGGCTCAAATTTAAGGTAACATTGGAGGTCGATTTTTCGAAAACTGTTATGCCTAAAACAAACACGAAAACGAGCGATTTAACAAAAACAATGTTTTATTAGCTGAAAAAAGAGTAGAAATAGATATTATTAGATATTAGAACAAAATCCATGATATTTCGCTGTTCACAGGAAACGTATTAAAGTTTTTCACTAAACGCTTCAGTACCTTATAATTGAAAAATCGAAAACTGCTGTTCACCTCCCGTCCCCGCTCCTCTCTCCCCCCGCCACTTGTCATCAAGGCTCACGTGAGCCTCAATCACTAGAGTCTGATCAGCGGTTGTCTTAAAGAAATAAACATCATTTGTTCCGAACTTCGTAGACGGAAAATTCTCTGGATAACTAATTTGCTAACATGCCACTGGAAACTAAAAAGAAAATCTCGTTACCTCTTCATCAGTAGTTGTTTAACATCCAAGGTTGAGTGGAAGTAACCTCTCATTCTTGTGGAATCGAAGAGCGAACTTCGATAAAGATCTTAAACGACGCGGTGAATGGTGATTTTGGATATATAAAATGCATATATTTGCACTGCGGTGAAGAAATGAAATTAAGAGCTCATCGCAGCTAAGAACACTACTGAAACGAGTAGTTGAAAATAGGACCTGAAAAAAATTCAGGCCCGTACAAGTCCTTTTTTCAACTACTCGTTTCAGTAGTGTTCTTAGTGACATGGTGAAGTCTCACAATGTACTGGCTCACAATTCCTAATACCCACATTCCTACAAACTCCTCTTTCATCTTGAAGTAAATTTTAAACGAAAGTTCAAGTTTTTTTTCATTGGAGTACAGGGTTGAAAATATCATTAATTTTTGTCACACAGGGCTCCCTCCCCTTCTCCCTAGTCAAAAATTTCTCATGAAAGCCTAATGAAAGCCTGGATAGCGCGAGGGTGATCATTATCATGTCGTAGAGAAGTTACTTGCATGGGGATGGGGTTATTTATTGATGAAAAAAAGTTAGTAAGATTGTTGTTCGTCTGAAGGGTAGAATTGTAACATGTTTTACTTCTCCATAATATTTTGGGACACGAGTGAAAGAGGGAACAAATGCGGTATTACAAACGCTTTTGGAAAACGAAATTTAAAATACTTTTTTTCGATGAGATTCTCTTGTTAGATGACGAAACTGATAAAGATCCAAATCCAACTAAGAATGAAACATTTTATTCTGAACTCGTAACTCTACATTGCACCCAAAGTGTATCTTTGATTGTAACGTATTACACTGTCCAAGGGATTGGATTTGAATTGTCTACGTGGGCGGTTTTATCGTTGAATTGCGGCCATTTTCTCCGTGATAACGCTTCCCTCGATGCCTGTAAGAAGTATTGAACCTTTCCTCTAATCCTTATAGACCTTCCGCACTAGAACCCATCAATAGATTACCTGCACAAGAGCTACAAGAGCTCTCCTTAATTGATTTGCCAAAACTAACATTGGGTTCGCATCCTATATAAGATATACGTATGCTCTCCCCAGACTTCCTAGGCCGCGTTAACGCGTTGCTTTTTCCTATGCATTGCATATCCACGGCTTAAACCGGTGAAGGTAGGACTATAACAAAAAAGAATCTCAACTTAGATTATCTGAAGTCGTCAAACTATATCCCTAGGCTTCAGAGTGACTGTTTCGAAGCTCCGCGTAAGTATGTGGTTCCGTGTTCAGTAACTGATAATGGGAATGAGGACTCGGAAACTGCAATTCTTCAATTTCCTCATAGACACGGGTACTCATTGGATCTTCATATGCTGGATTGTTGTGTCCCCTGGTCTCAGACGTTCTTCGCCGAGGTCTTCTGAGGGAGAAACGATAAAATAGATGAGAAAGAGAGAAATGAATTTTTAACTAGCTCGCATGTATCAAACCTTGCTATGTGATGCTATGTCATTCAAGCGAACTCGTCTTGGAACTCCGAAATAAGACAAAATCTTAACTTTGTTAATGCCTTACTCGGCCAAAATAAGAATATTTGTTTTATGCTTTGTGCGTGGGTTGTTGTGTAGTGGAGGTAACCTTTAGATGCCGATATCACAAAGGATCTGAGGAGAGGATATATCAAAGTTGGGAATTGCGGTGGTTTAGTAAATAGTACGCAGGAACAACTGTTCGAGAGGTCCAAATTTAAGCCACGGTAAAGTCACAGTGATGTAATTTTGAGGACAATATGTTACTTCTTTTGTCGTCAATGTGATGCTCTCCACCATTAAGTATTAAGGGAAACTGGCAAACTATCAGAGAAACTTGATGAATCGGCAAGGGAATGGGGGAGGGCGAAGAAGGGAATGGTTTTCAGCGATGAATAAACCTGGCATCCACTACGATTAGTTAAATGCTTCCTGTTGTTATTTTATTGATATTGAGACGAGCTATGGCAATTTTGGCTTGAACGCTGTCAACACGTTACCCCACCATCACCCTTGCTATGTTCACGCCAGTTCACCCTTCCAAGGCCTTTTCACCTCTTTTTCTTCCATTGCAATTTAACTCTATCGGTTTCTATTCCACTTTTGAAAAACCACGACGGCAATAAAAATAACAGTAAGAAATTCTTATGGTGACGATAATGACAACCATAAAAAAAAAAAAAAAAAAAATGATGCTTTAGACTTACATTCTTTGCTTCCACACACAAAAGATGGCGACAGCAACTATTACAATGACAGGTACAACTATTGCCATGGCAATGATGACATTGAGAAGGTGACCAGATGTCCCTTTCCCATCGGTATTTGACGTTTTGGAATTTGCTGATGAAAATAAGAATTGGCAAGCGGTCAAATACGAATATTGTTTACAGCAGTACAATTAAATTCATCATAAGTCAAAAGAAGACATCTAGTATAATTTGTTTAGAGACCTTCACAGTTTCCCTGCCATCTAGATGCTAACGCGCCAAACGTTGATGTCCCGGATGGACAAGGAACACAAGAAGTCTGCGCCTCTTTATCCTGGTAATGATCCACTGCGCATGCCTGGCACTCTGAAGTATTGTGGAAGTATCCAACAGGACAGCTCACTATAAATAGCAAAAAGGGACGAAGATATTTAAAAAGGTTTGACGTATCATCAAACTGTTTGAGTCAGCCATTTCAGAGCTGTTTATATTGCATCTGACTGCATAGCAAGGCAAGTGCATTGCCTTTTCGATACTTATATTACAATCATTCTTCATCCTCATGCGAGGAAACTCATTTTCAGGAGAAATGTTTTGTACGTCGATTCATTTAAAAGAATGACTTTTTGGTGCTTGGTTATGACATGTTTCCTTCGTTGAGTTAATTACATCTTTCTTATTACTTACGATAGGGTCTAAACTTAGCCAAGTACTCCGTAACCATGTGGGGGCTTAAAAGCTATAGGAAGAGTTTAGTTCTCCTTAAGTTAGAGTTAGCGCTTTCAATACGTTTTCTCAACTCACATAATTTTTCAAATGCCATCTGCGAAGAAATTTTGCGCCTTTGAAAGATTGTTGATTTAGAGTAGGCAGCCAATCGTATAACACCTATTTTCTTAAATAAACCAATAATAAAGCGGAAGTGAAATTGCTTTTATGGCCACTTTGGAAAACTCGGGCATTTTAGAAAATTTCATAGTTATAGGGAAGTACTTAGCAAACGTGAAATAAAAAAATTATCTGCCTATTCTTTCATTTGCATCATACATCTCATTGCTCCTGTTTGTCTAAAGCGATCAAATTACTTTATAGAATACTTGCTTATGGAAAAGTGCCAGCGTAACCAACTATCTTGGACAAAATAAGAATCTTTTAAGCAAAGTAAGTTAACCATTCACTTTGTGTTTTGAGATTCTTAAGGATTTTTTTGATAACAAACTCTGCTTACCACATTTGGAGCCTCTTAGAACCTGTCCACTATCACATAAAAGGCGCACGAAGCGGACTTGAGGTGGTTTTGAAGCATCGAAAACTAAGGAAATCCCACTGATATTAAGATTCACATCTGTTTTGTTAAACTTTAATAATAGGTTACTGGAAATTTCTTCAGTTGTCTGATTAAGATCAGCTGCAGTCGTGTTCTCGGGCAGTGGAACTTTCAAATCAAAACTAATGGAAAGTGAAATTCTTGATGAGAGCTGATTACTTCTTAAGTCTCTTTGTCGAAGTGTTCCTGTCTGGTCTCCGCATAGGAATCTCTCGACTCAGACTCCAGATGCAGACTATGGGGCCTCCACACCTCCAATTCTTTCTGCAAATGTTCCATATGTAATTATGGGCAGAAATCAAGGACATTTCGAGCCCGCTAACAATTATCAGCGGTATATCGTATTACACTCCGGAACAATCGAATATCAAGAGAGTTCAATATGGCGGCGATCACGGCTCGATCTGCAAAGAAGAGTGTTTCGGACCATGACTTATACAATTTGAGCACCGCAGATCTTCTATTTGATGAAAAGAAAAAGAAAAGAAGACCTGCAAGTAAATCTTTGGGATTTTTCGAGGCAGAGCGATGACATGATGTCAGAATTTTGATTTGCTTGAATTTAATTTTCGCGCTAAGACTACTGAATTTGCATTCAATGCCTGGCATATTTTTATTCCGAAAAGGACCGCGAACTAATTTATTTCCCTGCAAGAACATAAACAAATATGGCCGACGATTCGAAGATCAGCGTTGCTCGTGTTTAACTATTTCAGTCATAGTTTTCAACATGGCGTCTCGTCACTTACTCAACATGGAAAATAAGGGATATTCTGGCGCGTTGGGAACTTTTTTGATGGGAGGAAATGGCAATTTTACAGGATATTTGGACGCTTCGAACTCTGTAGCAGTCAATTCGATCGAGAGCAGTTGACTTTATTGATGCACTTTCCTGTAATAGGCGAGTGTTTGGGATGGAGAACGACGGATTTTGAAGAACTGTATGGCGACCTAGGTCAATGATCAATGACAAAAGAACTGGCTCGGGAAGTAAGTGGTTTTTATTTATGGAGTCCCTGTGAGGTTTGATGAATAGCAGAATCAGTACTGAATATGTCTCGATCGAGAGCAGACGGGACCATGAGCTCCTGATTGTTATATTTTAGAAATTTTACAAATTTCCATACAGTTTCTTATATTATTTGGACGCCATTATGGACGAAATGCGCAAGCGCTGCCGCCATAGGTGTGATATTGTAAGGAGAAATTTGATGTAAGTCACTGTTAGGATTTAAAGGGTTAATTTTCCATTTAAGTTTTTTTCTCCCAGTAAACTGGTGAAGTAAAACATAAATGATCAAGAAAACAACCCAACAAGAAACAACAAACAGATCTTATGGAAACTTCCCTAGGAAAGACTCAGTTTTTCTTGAAAATACTATTTTCTCTCTAAAATTTAATGTACTTTCTGGGAGACACTGTTGATTCTCATGTTTACATTGCATATTAGCCCATCTCAAGAATTAAAATTTCTGATGTTTTTCAGATTTTTTCAACTTGTTGTCAGCCACCCAGACTTTTGAAAAGATAAAGATTTGCAAAAGTTTTTGAAAGAGGAAAATGTGAGTTTTTCAAGTAATAAGATACTCTTACTGGTATTTGGCCACAATCCCTGTGAGTATGGGTGATTTTTTCCACATGCTATCAATGGCAAAACAACACTTGATTTAAACTCCATAAGTATATTTTTCATAAAATCAACAATAATTATTACTATTTTTATCTTTAGGGGTCATAAATGTTTTTAAGATAAAATCAGTTGACACAACATCCACTGAGCCACCTCTAAGGAATTATGTAGAAATGGAGTGAAAATTGAACTAAATTCACTGCAACAATAAGCTCTTCCACCAGTCAATGTTGTAGAATGGTGTAAAACAATTAAAGAAACATTGTACATGAGAAGAAGAGTTGAAAGTAAGGAATATAATTGGTATGCTATTCCAGAATATTGCCATTTCAATGGTAGTGTGTTGACAATTTTCTTGCTGATTGTATGTATATGCCTGGGGGATTTCTTTTGTGACAAAATGTCTGTTGCAACTTAGTAAAACTAAGTTTGATAATCATTATTAAACTCCTTGCTCTGAGAAATTAATCTCTTTTCAACTCAGTGATCAGTGGCTTAATGGCATCTCATGCTCATACACTTACAGTGTAAGGTATAAACACTTTTTTTTATTACATAGCTTGCGGTGAGAAGCAAAGTGAAAAAGGGTCTTAGGACAAGTCTATATCATGAGCTGTGGATGATTTCAGGCATCATAGTCACAAGGTACAAAATGTTCCAGGATTTTTGTATGCTTTTTTGTTTTGTTTTGATTTTTTTTATCTAAGAAGTCTTTATTTAGTAAAATTGTGATATCACTGAATTATTGTTTAATTACATACAGTGTATGTCTCATTCAGGGCTGTAAAATATGAATAATTGTAGTTTGAATTGTGGTATACAGAGAGACAGTGTTTTAACCCTTCACGCTCTAACATCAGTATGCATATTCTCCATACTGTTCTCTAAACATTTTCTAAGATGCTGACATGGAGAATTTGTCTAACAATCAAGAGCTTCTCTAGTCAGTGATCAGCTTGTTTATTCTCCTGACCTTAATGTTTGATTCAGGAAGGATACAGTTAGGAGAAAATAGATGTCAGTCACTCTTAGGGGTTAAACTGCTGAATACTTGGTCCTTCTTTATCAGTGTTAACCCTTTCACTCCCAAGATCTGATTGTAAATTCTCCCCTTTAGCTGCTACATATTTCCCTATAAATTAGTTGTGAGAACTTGATACTAGATCAAGATAAAAGCTTCAACCTGACAGGTTTGAATATTCTCATTACCTGTTTGCTGAATAATGTATGGATATTATAGGGAGAAGTTTCATGTTAATCACTTGTGAGAGTTAAAGGGTTAAACCCTTTACAGGCCTCTCACCAGCTCATGTTCTAATTTTCTTTATGAAATTAGATTATGTTGATTTGACACGGATAATACAAAAATAATTTTTAAAACGATGCAAGGTCGTTTCAGGCATTGGCTCACTTCAGGTGTTCAGTTAGTAAAACGGAGCAGAGACTGAGCGGAAAAGTGAAACAGCAAGAGAGGCTTGGGTTAGGTGAGATTCATTGAGTGACTCAACCCAAGCCTCCCTCGCTTTTTCACATCTCTGCTACTATAGTGCTGTTTACTATCACACTTTGTTTTGCCGACTGAATGCCTGGAACAGGCTATTCAGGCACTAATCATAACCATTGCAATTTCTTCAAATGTGATTGGTGCATTAGCTGCTTCATTTTTTCACGTCTCATTCTGTACAGCTTTAATTGGACAGCATAATTGGACAGTTGGCTTTAATCGGATACCTGTAATTGGACAGTTGAAGCAACGAATCATACTAAGTTCAGTCAGCTAAATCCACCAATCACAGAGTTAATCACAATAACCATGGCAACAACCACTTGTCTCAAAAAAAAAAAGAAGAATTTCCAAAATGGAGACATATTTTTTGTCTGTAGACATTGTCTATACCAGAGATATTTGACCTAAATGTATTTCTTGTTTTCAGAAATAATAACAATTAAGATTAAATGGTAACAGGACTTTTTTGTTGTCCACTTCTTTCTGTAATCATACTCGTGATTGACAAATTGGTCTCTTGCTTTGCAGTCGTCCAATTTTGTTAATCACGTGTATGATAACAACAGACCGAATAAGACTCCACTCAGTCCTATTACCATTGTAGATTGGCTGGAAATGGTGGCAAAAATCCAGCAATTACTTGAAATTTAGTCAGCAAATATTTCATGACAGAAAGAAATTTTCCAATTTTGTGAAGGCTACTAGCCTTGAATCAAGGCTCTAGAACATTCAATAAACACTTAACATGGTGAATTTTCAACTTTATGTTGTTTTCATGCAGATCACCATTATACTAAAGAGTGAATGAATTTCTTTACGTCTTCCTATCAAATAATATTTTTATTAAATCTGAATGAATGGGTTTCAAATATGCAAAGTTTTCTACATACTTTCACGGTAACAGACATTATGGAAAAAAAATTTCCTTTTCAATCCTCTGAGAAGCACCAACCAAAAAATTGATTTCCTTTGTATTGAAAAGCTTTTGAAATTTATATTAGATATCGCGATGGTAAGTTTTTGTTTGAATTGCTTCATAATTACCTGTAAAGGCAGAACTTGACGTTTTCAGTTGACTTAAATGTGAATATACTTCTTATTCTGATGAAAACTATGTTTTTCCAGTGTAATTATTTTTTTCAATATAGAATGGACCATATACAATGCTAGTTGTCGTTTCAGCTCTACCAAAGTCCTTAACTCTGTTTGAGACGACTGACTCCCCCTCCTTTCCTCCTGAAAACTATGTGATCCCAACCTCTCCCTTAAAAAAAACATTTCTTCCAGCGGCTATAAAAATGACTCTTCCTTTAGTATCGCTGCTAACCCAGAAATTAAGCCCGAAACGACCAAACTTCCTTAATGATCCCCTCCTCCTAACCCTACCCCTACCTATAACTTAGTCATCCCCCGTCTGAATGACCTGAATTCTTTTCTAGTGAGATCACGCGCAAATCTGTCTGCTGCTGACGTTGTGAAAGTCATCACGTGCAGTGTCATCAGAAATGTTGCGCTCTGCGAGTTAGTTTCACTTTTGAGCGTGGTTGCTTCCGAGCCGTACTTTGTCATTTTGTTGGCTGAAAACGTCGACTTGTTCCCTCGATAGTTCCTGAAATCCTCAACGAAGTAAGTATAGATCATTTGTAATCAAGATTCGAGAAGAAAATTCCGACTAGCGTTTGTTTACAACGAGACCAAAGCTCGATGTAAGTTCCATTAAGGGTGTTGTCACAAATTCTTGCTCTTAGACTCAAACTGCAAAGCTTAACGGCTCTATGAACGAGTTCAACCCTGCTTCATTTTATCATTTACTAAATGCTGAGTCGATTTCGTTTTGCATACAACAAATTAGGAATGTGTCCTTCATTCATTTTCAGAACTATACTTTCTTAGGTAGACGGAATTATTACAATTCTTGATTTGCTGAATGGCAAATCTTATCTCGTATGAAGAAACTGTGGTTATTCATCGTCGTTAAATACAATATTAGCTAAAGTATAATCGTATACATTGCGCTTTGTTTTCACCTCCGATTTACGTAGATCGAGACGTTTCGCTTGCAAGCAAACGGCCCGGAGTCTTTTTCGTGCGAGCTCGGCCATCACAATCTACAGCGGCAGTATAAAGATCGAGAGACAAAGGATACCACTTATCGGCCATAGTTGTTCCTCAAGGCAATAAAATTAGCCTCGCTGGTAAGTACATTGTGTTATAGAGTAATTTAGTTGTTTCTGTAGCAGGCCAGGACTTGCTAATTTTGAAACTGAAACTAAACATTTACCTGCCTTTGGACAACAGAAAAAATTACAGTACTAGTCTTCGATTTCGAGATTGATGAAGGATCTTGATCTTTCTTTCTCTATCGATTTAGTCATTGCGTGTGTTTTGATGTTGGGGAAGTTTTTCGACTGTCGGTTGTCTGAGAGAAACAAACAGACAAAAAAAACTCCGCAGTCGATTAGAGATCCAATATTTCGAATTCACCGTTCAGTCCACAAACATTTTTCCCTAATTTTGTAACGTTACACGCTCTTAGCTTGCTGTGCATTTTGATGAAGAAAGTGTAGGGTTTGTTTTATTGCTGAAAATTGTGAACTTTAAACTGAATTGTGTGCGTTTGAAAGTTTTACCTCTGGTGAAAGACTCTCAATTTAGAACAATTTCTTTGTTTGCTCCAAGAATTGTTTCAATGCGGTTCGAAAAAAAAATTTGATCAGAACATTCTAGAAGAAGATATGGGAATATGATTGACCTCTGCCTAAGAGCTTACTCCAATTACTTAAAATATCACACCAGACACGACTACAGTAAGATAATTGCCAAATTTAGCATTTTCTTGATGTTGTCTTTTGTCTGCTTTGTATTCAGAGAGGGAATGTGGAATGGTGTGCAAGTAAACCTCCCTTCCCTTCTTCCCAGAACCCACTCCTGCCGATCATGTCGAGAATTTCTTAAAATATTGCTTTAAGGACCGTGAGGGAGCTGATGTGCTTTGCTTTTTCACTTTGTAATTTTTTCTTTAGCGGATCAACGCACAAATGTGACGTTTGCGGTTATCTACGCCTTCAAAAGCACGCAATGTCATTGGATTATTATTTGTTAGGGTCACAATACGTGACACACTGGTTTTTCTTTCGTGTTCCTGTTTACGAGTTGACGGCTGGTTGCGCATAAGTCATTTTTGTTTCTTTTCTTGTGGAGTTGAAATTTTGACAAACCCACTGTTGTACTTATTGTATAGATTCTTTGAAAAATATATCTTCAGTCTGTTAAAAAGGCTTCTTAAAATCGAATGTTTTATCCTTGTTACTGTTCTGAAAAGGAATTTGATCAAAACATTCTTGAACATAATTTAAGTTCGATTGTTGTAGTAATCATATCAGGCACGGGTGTCTGAAGATTGCTTCTTCATCTGCCTTTTTTCTTGAGTTAGGATGCTAGAATGGTGTGTATGTAAATGGCCCCCTTCCCCCTCCACCCCACTTTCGCTGATAGGGGAGTTTTCTAGCGAGAAATACAGTACTTGTCTTCGATTTTGAGATTGATAAAGGATCACGACCTTTTTTTGTCGGTTTAGTCATTCCGTATGTCTTGATGTTGGGGAGGTTTTGCGAATGTATGTTGTCTAAGAGAACACCATAGAAACAACTCCGCAGTCGATTGGAGATCTTTTCGAATTCACCGTCGTCCATTAAAATAAACAAGCATACATTCCAGAAAACTGATATTGATACGTCACACGCTAAAGGAGAAGGAGCTTAATAAAACAGTTTTAACGATCGTCACCCCAGATTAGTGAAAATGTCAAAAGTGACGTTATTTGATGCACTTAATGATTTGACCATCTGATGTGCTTCGTGTGTCAAATGAACGAAAGAACTGCTTTGTTTTGTTAGATAATAATGCTGAAAAAAAGCAAAAAGCAGATGAACCCCAATATCATTTCGTTAAAGCAGCAGAATTTTTGGTGTGAGAATTATCCATTTTTTATGGACAACGGTACAATATGGAACAAAGTATAATCGTTTATCGCGCTTTGTTTTTACTTTCAATGTGCAGATCGGGGCGTTTTGATTGCAATCCTTCTTCGTGCGAGGCCGGCCATCACGATCCACAGCGGCAGTGAAAAGATCGAAAGACAAACGATAGCATTTATCAGCCTTAGTTGTTCTTCAAGGCGCTGAAATTAGCGTCGCTGGTAAGTACATTTTGTTATAGAGTAATTTAGTTGTTTCTGTAGCCGGCCATGACTTGCTAATTTTGAAACTAAAACTAAACATATACTAGTCTTCTATCTCAAGATTGATGAAGGATCAGGAACTTTCTTGTCGATTTAGTCATTACGTATGTTTTGATGTTGGGGAAGTTTTGCGAATGTATGTTGTCTACGAGAACACCGTAGAAACAAACTGACAAAAACAACTCCACAGTCAATTGAAATGTTTTTCGAATTCACCGTTGTTTATAAAAAATGTTTTCCCTAATTTAGAAACCTTATACGCTCTTTGCTAGCTGTGCATTTGAATGATGAAATTGTAAGTTATGTTTTATTGCTGAAGATTGTGAACTTTAAACCGAATTGTTCGATCGAAAGTGTTTCCATTCGTGAAAAACTCTTAATTTAGACCTTTTTCCTAGTTTGCTCCAAGAATTGTTTCAATGTGGTTTAAAAACAAAATTTGAGCAGAACATTCTAGAAGAAGAAATGCGAATATGGTTGACCTCTGTTCAAGAACTTACTCCAGTTACTTGAAATATCACACCAGACACGACTGCAGTTAGAAAATCGCTAAATTGAGTATTTTCTTGGGGCTGTCTTTTGTCTGCTTTGTATCCTGAGAGGGAATGTAGAATGGTATGCAAGTAAACCCCCCTTCCCTTCACCCTAGAACCCACTCCTACCGATTCGAGAATTTCTTTAACTATTTTCTTAAAGACTGGGGGGGAGCTGGTGTGCTTTGCTTTCCCACTTTGTAACGTTTTTACTTACATCAAACTAAACAGCTCAGCTTACACTTAACGGATCAGCGCATAAATGTGACGTTTGCGGTTATCTACGCCACCAAAAAACACGCAATGTCATCGGATTACTATTTGTTAGGGTCACAATACGTAACACACTGGTTTTTATTTCGTGTTCCTGTTTACGAGTTGAAGGCTGGTTGCGCATGAGCCATTTTTGTTTCTTTTCTTGTGTGGTTGAAATTTTGACTCTTACACGGAAATCAAAACCCATTGTTTTACTTATTGCATAGATTCTTTGGAAAAGATTTTTACAGTCTGTCTGTGAAAAAGGTTTTTTTTTAAAATCTAATGTTTTAACCTTGTTACTGCTCTAAAAAAGGGACTTCGATCAAAACATTCCTGACCATATTTTAAATTCGATTGATGTTATATCGCGCCAGGCACCCGTGCTAGAAGGTTGCTTCTTCATCTGTTGGTTTTTTTGAGTTAAGGATGTAAGAAAGGTGTGTATATTAATGCCTCCTCCCCACGCCCCCCCTCTCTCCCCCTCACCCCACTCTCGCTGATGGGGGAGTTTTCTAAAAAAACCTACGTACAGGACCGGGAAAGGGATTATATCCCATACCCGAAAGTAACCAACTACTTCGTTCTACTTGTTTTTGTCATTCAGTCCTTGGTTATTCTGAAAGTGGACTTTGGTCCAAACATTCTATAACAGGGCGATGAAACATTGTTGACCTCTGTTCAAGAATTCACATTTCTTGCTTAAAAAATGTCACGCCAGATACTCGTAAGGTCAGCAAATCACCAAAATTTAGTATTTCCATGATACTGTTCTATTATCTACTTACCATTTATGTGAGCAATGTGAAATAGTGTCTAATGCGAGGAATTTTTCACCGACTTTTGTAGAGGAGAGTAAGTTTGAAAAATTTTTAAGATCAACAGGTCAAGGCACATTGTTGTGTTAATTTGCTGGGGGCCAAAAATGGACCAATGATGAAACCAACGCGAAAACAATTAATATAATACCAGCAGGGTGCAGCTATTTAGGGATGTGAATAATGTGCATTACGACAAAGCCAGATTAGCTTTCGCTTTTGAGTCCCTCGAGTGTTTTGTTGACTACAGAAAGCAGCCTATGTTCTTTATCGCAAATGAAGTATGCATACCGCACCAAAAGGTTTCTAAAACTTAAACGACGGTACGTGTACTTCAATCCATTTACATGAAAGTTATGTGTAGCAGTTAAAACTCGTTTTAAACGGAAAATAAACTCGCATACATTCTAGAATACTTATATCGATGCGACACAAGCTGGCGGAGAAGGAGCTTAATAAAACAGGGGTCAGTTCAATAAAGAAATTACACTTGTAGATTCTACAGTTGTAAAAAACGCATGTAAAGTCCGACTTGTAAATACAAGAATTCAATAAAAAAAATTCAAACACTGGAATTTACACGTGTACAAGCAGTCTTACTACAAGTGTTAATTACAATTGTAACCGTACAATTGTAAATAGCACTGAGTGGATATGTAAACTACAAGTGCAAATTATTTCAGCTCAGTGCGGAAAATTTATTTCGTAGACCGCGTCTATTCTTTCCCTGTCGTCGAAATCCCAGAAATTGCTATTAGCGCAGCTTGTGAGGGATAACAAATCAGTTGTTTTGGCTCCATTTTCCTCGACTATAACGAAAAAGGCGAAACAGGAGGCGTGGGAAAGCATCTTAAGACAACTGAATGGTGTTGGAGCGAACGTCGACAACATGAAAACCCTGAGAGATGTTATCTGGGCAAACATTCGCCGCGGTACGATAAAAAAAGTCAGTGACTCGAAAAAGACCGGTGCAGGAGGGAGTGAACTCACAGAGCTGGATGATACAGTCCTTGATATACTTGGAAGAGAGAGCGCAAACTTGGAGCCTGTGAAGGTTGAAGACACACCAATTGTGTTTGAGAGTGAAGAGGTTGTCTGCACTACACCTGAGACCGAAGTTGAGATAATTTAGAATAACCAGAAACAACATTTATAAATCAAAATGTCCTTCTTTCGTTTCTCTGCGAGCAAGTTGTCAATTTTAAGCTAGGTCAGACGCGATTATCGCGTTCCCTAATGAAAATGTTTCTTTCTTACTTTAATCGCAACTTAGCTTCGTTCAAACGCGATGAGTTTAAAGATGAGATTTTCATGTATCTACCAATCTTTTGTTCATTTAGATGCAAAAGAAAAGCATGAAACAAAACCTTCAGCCAAACCAAAGGAAGCCAAAGAAGACAAGACATCAGTATTCCAAAAGCCTACCATCAAATCGAAGAAGGGGCTGAAAAAGGCCACTGTCAGTTCCACAGCAGAATTAGAAGACATATTACGAATTAGGAAAAGAAAACTACTTTTAGAGTGTTCAAAGTTGTCCTTGGAGATTAAAATAATGAAGAAAGATTTCGAGGCGATGGATTAATAGAAATAATTTGACTGTTAAGTTTGAGAATTGCGTAAGTGCAATCAAGAGAATGAAAGCTAATAATGTCAATAATTTACAGAATTGTATCACTTTGTTAGAAAGTAATCACGCCGTTAATAAAAACAATTAGTCTTAGAAGGTTGGTGGTTTGCAATCATTTGTTTAATTATTAGAGGGAGGGCAACGGACAAGAGGATATCAATAATTATTGAAATGACTTCAATGACATAGCTCATACCATGGTTTAATGAATTCAATGACAGCTTCTGTTCTTTTTCAATTTCATATTTGGGCTAGGGGATCGTCCTAAGCATATCATTATAGTTTTATAAATACAATATCTGCAAATAATGAAGATCGAATAAGAAATGTAAACTAAATGCTTTTAAGGCCCTTAACAATTTGATTTCACATCGATTGACATTGTCTCACTTTAATTCAAAGAAAATGCGCCAAGAGCTCTTGTCGTCTGTCCTCCTGCCCCTCGTCTTGCTCGGCAGACTCCCCTTCATCAATTTCCAGATCTTCTTCATCCAAAAGATCAGCACCATCATCGTTAAATAGTATGCAAATGTTGTGTAGTATGGCTGCACACTGGATAAGTTCAGCAGCTCGTTCCATACTTCTGACTCTTAAGCCTGTTTGTAGAGTGTAGAATCTTTTTTTTATAACACCATTGGCTCTCTCTATGGTGCTTCTGGTTTTCTTGTGCGCCTCATTAAACCTGAGTCGAGCACCTTCTACATCTCCCCTGAAAGGAGGAATCAGCCAGCTGTTGCACGGGTAGGCAGAGTCGCCTAGAATTACTGCTCCAGGGAATGGCCTCCGAGCATTTTCTTCAAATGCAGTCCACAGAGTACTCTCTTTGAGAACCCGCGAGTCATGCCATCTCCCAGGACATCGGCTGCTACAGAAATATATTGAGTAATCCGGGCCGCAAACCATGGCCACATTGAGGGATTTCGTATGATGCCGATTCACGTATGCATCTTCATCACCAGCCGGGGGATTTACCAGAACATGGGTTCCATCCACGCAACCAGCAACACAAGGAAACCCAGCTATATCATGAAACTTTGAAGTGATTCGAAGGGGCTGCTTGGGCCAACAAACAAGTTCTCGCTGTAAACTTAGTATTGCCGGCGTAACGCGGTCTATGACATTCCAAACCGTTGATGTTGAAATTCCATGGCACGAATGCATCACATGGTAAAACGAGTTCGTACCAAGGAAGTGGAGAAATACTAACAATTGTTGTCTCGCCGTCAACGCTCTGTTGCGCCGTGTTCTGTGTTCCAATTGCGGACCCACTGCTGCCAGTAAATGTTCGAATGCATCGACTGGGAGACGAAACTTCTGTCGAAATTCGTGTGGATTTTCTACGTCGAAAAGCCGTCTTTCCTCAAAATTCCTCGGCTGTCGTCTTATTCTATTTCTCAAAAGTTCATCTATTTCTTCTTCACTCGAAGATGACATGCTATCTCTTTAAATGAGGCCAACAACAATTTGCTCTCGAAGTTTACAAGTGACTTATGACTTGTAATTTGTTCTTGTATTTTACAAGTGGACCGCAGGCCAAAAACAAGTTGGACTCCTGTAAAACGTTTTATTGAACTGACCTAATTTCACATTCTACACGTGTAGCTCTACACCTGCAACTACAAGTCGGACACTTGTAACTTTGGCTTGTAAAGACAGTTATTGAATTGGATTTTTTACGCGCTTGTAAAAGCAACGGTCCAACGTGTAAAATACAAGTGTAAAAGTTTTATTGAATTGACCCCAGGTTTTAGCAGAAATGTGAAATAGCACAGCGATCTCTACTATCGTCACTTTACATTAGTGAAAATGTTTAAAAGTGACGTTATTAGATACATTTCACGATTTTATCATCTGATATGCTGAGTGTGTCAAATGTACGAAGGAACTCCTTTGTTTTGTTAGACAATAATGTTGAAAAAAGCAAAAAGCAAAAAGCAGATTACCCACGCTACCATTTCGTTAAAGCAGCAAAACATTTTGTGTGAGAATTATTCATTTTTGTTATGGACAACGGTACAATATGAGATAAAATATAATCGTTTATTGCACTTTGTTTTTACCTTCAATGTACAGATCGGAAAGTTTTGATTGCAAGCCTTCTTCGTGCAAGCCTGACCATCAGGATCCACAGCGGCAGTGAAAAGATTCAAAGACAAACGAGAGCATTTGTCGGCCTTAGTAGTTCCTCAAGGCGCTGAAATTAGCCTTGCTGGTAAGTACATTGAGTTGTAGTATAAATTTGTAGTTTCTTTAGCGGGCCACAACTTGCTCATTTTGAAACTGAAACGAAACATCTAACTGCTTTTGGACAATAGCAAAAAAATGCAACACAGTATATGTGTACGTGACAAACGATAGAATTTATTAGCCTTAGTTATTCCTCAAGGCACTGAGATTAGCCTCGCTAGTAAGTATATATTATGTTATAGTGTAAATTTGTAGTTTCTGTAGCGGGCCATGACTTGCTAATTTTGAAACTGCAACTAAACATCTAACTGCTTTTGGACAACAGCAAGAAACACAGTACTGGTCTTCGATCTCGAGATGGATAAAGGATCACGAACTTTCTCGTCGATTTAGTCATTGCGTACATTTTGATGTTGGGGAGGTTAAATGTATTTTGTCTAAGAGAACACCGTAGAGGCAAAGTGGCACAAACAACTCCACAGTCGATTGGAGATCTTTTCGAATTCACCGTTGTTGTTTATAAACACTTTCCCCTAATTTTGTAACCTTATCCGCTCTTGGCTTGCTGTGTATTTTGATAAAGAAATTATAAGGTATGTTTTATTGCCGAAGATTGTGAACTTTAAACTGAATTGTTCGTTCGAAAGTTTTTCCTCCGGTGAAAGACTCTCAAGATAGAACTTTTTCCTTGTTTGCTCCAAGAATTGTTCGCATGCAGTTTTGCGCAGAAAATTCTAGAAGAAGATATGCGAATATGTTTGACCTCTTCCCAAGAGCTTACTCCAATTACTTGAAATATCACACCAGACACGACTGCAGTTAGAAAATCGCCAAATTGAGTATTTTCTTGATGTTGTCTTTTGTCTACTTTGAATTCAGAGAGGAAATGTGGAATGGTGTGCAAATGAACCCCCCTTCTCTTCACCCCAGAACCCACTCCTGGCGATTCGAGAGATTCTTAAAATATTTTTATATTTAAAATTCGTGTTCCTGTTTACGCGTTGAAGGCTTGTTGTGCATGAGCAATTTTGTTGTCTTGTGTGGTTGAAATTTTGACGCTTACACAGAAATCAAAACCAACTCTACTGTTGTAGTCACTGCATAGATTCTTTGAAAAAATTTTTACATTCTGTTAAAAAGGCTTTTTAAAATCTTATGTTTTATCCTTGTTACTGCTCTGAAAAGGACTTTGATCAAAACATTCTTGACCGTATTTTAAATTCGATTGTTGTAATATCACGCCAGGCACCCATGCTCGAAGGTTGCTTTTTCATCTGTTGTTTTTTTGAGTTAAGGATGTAAGAAAGGTATTTTTAATTCGATTGTTATAGTAATCACATCAGGCACGGGTGTCTGAAGGTTGCCTCTTCATCCGCGTTTTTTCTTGAGTTAGGATGCTAGAATGGTGTGTACATTAAAGAAAAATTTGAGCAGAACATTCTAGAAGATATCCAAATATGATTGACCTCTGTTCAAGAGCTTACTCCAATTACTTGAAATATCACACCAGACACGACTGCAGTTAGAGAATCGCCAGATTTAGTACATTCTTGAAGTTGTCTTTTGTCTGCTTTGTATACATGGAGGGAATGCAGTGTAATGTTTGCAAGTAAACCTCTCTACCCCTCTCCCCACAACCCACTCCTGCCGATTCGAGAATTTCTTACAAATATTTCCTTGAGGACCGGTGGAGAAGAGGTAACGTGCTTTGCTTTCCCAGTTTTTATTTTTTTCACTTACCCCGGACTTAACAGCTCTGCTTACACTTAAAGGATCAGCGTACAAACGTGACGTTTGCAGTTATCTACGTTATCCAAAAAGACGCTATGTCACTGGACTATTATTTGTTAGGGTCACAATACGTAACACTCTGGTTCCACTTTCGTGTTCCTGTTTACGAGTTGAAGGCTGATTGCGCATAAGCTATTTTTGTTTGTTTTCTTGCCTGGTTGAAATTTTGACGCTAACACAGAAATCAAAACCAACTGTTGAACTTATTTCATAGATTCTTTGAAAAAAGATTATTAAAGTCTGTTAAAAAGGCTTTTTAAAATCTAATGTTTTATCCTTGTTGCTGCTGTGAAAAGGAGTTTGATCAAAACATTCTTGACAATATTTTAAATTCGATTGTCGTAGTAATCAAGCCAGGCACCGGCGCCAGAAGGTTGCCTTTTATTTCGGTTTTTTTCTTGAGTTAGGAATGTTAGAATTATTTGTATATTAATGCCCCCCTCCTTCCTCCCTCCCCCCCTCCCCTTCACCTGACGGGGGAATTTTCTGGAGAAATACCCACAGGACCGGGGGAGGGGTGATATCCCATACCTGAAGGTGAACAACTCCTTTAGTCTCCTCGTTTTAGTCAATCAGTCCTTGGTCATTCTGAAAAAAGGAATTTGATCTAAACATTCGATAACATGACAATTAAACATTGTTGGCCTCTGTTCAAGATTTCACATTTTCTTGCTTGATGGATGTCACGCCAGATACGCGTACAGTCAGCAAATCACCAAAATTTAATATTTCTCTAATGCTGTTCTATTATCTACTCTCCATTTGTATGTTGCCTCGTCTGGTTGTTGCAGAATTCTCTACTTCGTTAAGGAAAATCTCTGCGGAGAGCTGGTTCGACAACCAATAGGACTATATCGTTCCGCTTTCGTGCGGTTATTTAAGATCCATACAATATCTGTACTTTCTACCTTCAATCGATCTCGATCTTTTGTTACAAGATAGTGATTCTATTTATCTGCTATTACAACGGAATTACACGCCTAAACTATGTAAAACCAAGATTGACATTAGTTATTTGAAGTTTTCTAAAATCCCAAGCTATTTCCTTTCAACTTGATTTTAACAGCTGTTTCCCATTCTACTCTGATCAACATTTCTGTTATTTACACCCGATCGCACGCACCAGTTACGGCACGAATGACACATCACGCAACGTCACAGGATATTCCAAACCAAAACACGCACGCACAATTTCCCTAGAAAATTCCTTATCTGATTATTTGAGACCATTATTGATTGTTTATATCACTTCTGCTGTGCGCAATCCGAACATTCTTGCTACATGTCTGTCATTACTATGCTACGCTCAATTATACATGTAAATCTTAAGTAACCCTGAGCTTAATTGCTGAATTAGAAATTAAAGCATCACGCGATACACTTACAAGATTGTCGCCACACTGGCTGAAATTTTGACGCTTGTAAAGAAATCAAAACTAACTGTTGTACTTGTTAAAAAGGCTGTTTAAATTTAATGTGTTATCCTTGCTTCTGCTCCGAAAAGGACTTTGATCAAAATATTCTTGGACATAATTTAAATTCGATTGTTGTAGTAATCACGCCAGGCACGCGTGCCCGAAGGTCGCCTCTTCATCCGCTTTTTTCTTGAGTTAGGGATGTTAGAATGGTGTTTATATTAATACCCTCGCCCCCGCCCCCCCCCCCCCTTCCCCCCACCCACTTTCGCTGATAGGGAAGTTTTCTAGATAACTACCCACTGGACTTAGGAAGGGGTCATATCCCATGCCCTACGGTGAGGAACTCCTTCGTTCTCCTCATTTTAGTCATTCAGTCCTTGTTCATTCTGAAAAAGGACTTTGATCTAAACATTCTGTAACAGAACAATAAAACATTGTTTAAGAATTCACATTTTCATATCCAAGAGGAAATAAATTATCTTGTCTCAACTGACGCAACCCTACTCAGTAAAGTAATTACTTTAGCGAATCAAGAGAAATGGCCCATTGGATGACATCATATTCATTTGATCAACGCCTTCTCCATTAAAAGTTTCTCAAGGTTTTTTTCTTGTAAATTAAGATCTTCTGGATTAGCTCCCTCTCAAGTGAGCCACGAATTTTGTACACTTTTGTAGGGCGAAAGAAGTTTGAACAATAATCTTGACTAATGCATAGTACCTGTAAGGTGCAAACTTTAAGGCTTGTGAGATCTCTTGTGTGGGAGATAGAGAAGGAAAAAAATTAACAGCAAAGAAAACAAATTCTCTTCGCTAAGTGTCTTTTTAAATCATGTTCCGAATGTCAGTATTCCATAGAATTACACCTGTTAATTCCAATAGAAATCCTTTTTCCAGCCAGTTTTCATCAAAAATTCCGTTCCGTTTTTCAGTATTCCTTCATTACGCATGACCAGCTGCGAATGTAATCCTTGACTGATTACGGTCACATAAACCGTGGACAGAAAGTAAACATTTTTCGGAATACTTGCAAAAGAAACCTTGAGGAACAGAAACTCAGTAATTGTGCCAGCACTTGATGCAGAAGGCTCAGAATAGCTGCTTCCGCCAGAAGGAGTCCAGAATGCCTAACAGCTTCTTTAAAAAGTTTTGATATCCATTAAATAATTGGGTCAAAGCGCTTCAAATGTTTGTGTCATTTTGCGATAGGAAGTGAAAGACCGAAAATAACAACAGACTACACTTAATACTTGTTAATTTAAAAAATAACTTATATGTTGCCCCTGCGTTTGTTTAGTAAGAAATCACAGATGACGTCAAAATGTGGTAAGAACAAAGAGGCACACTGATATTTTTACCACATTTGTGACGTCATCTGTGATCTATTATCATAAAGAACCCAGGCAACATGGATTCTATTTGTTTTGTACAAAAATACATTTGTCCTCCGATAGATCTTAGGTAAGAACCAAGCACAGTTCCTGCGTTTTTTGCTTATGATATAAAAAAAGAACCTACAGATAATTTTGCTGCTTGAGCAGCTTTAAAAGCACGTGATTCTAAATTGTTCAACCTTTGATTTCAGACAGTTCAAGTATTCCCAAGTTTTGTCAAACTTCTTCAACGGTATGTATCATTTAACTCACTGATTCGAAAGTAAGTTCCAAGTAACCTTTTAAAGGGAAGTTGCGTGACATGTGACTCACGCAGTCACGGTTAGGTTAAGATTGAAATAGGAGAGGTGATAATTAGAGTGATAGGTTTGAGGAGAGAGCGTTGGAAGTTTGTGACGTGGTGAACGTTGATGATAAGCAATGAAAGAATTTGACGATTGAGAGTACAGTGTACCCCACAAGTTCGGTACACTTTTTCTCTAAATTTATTTTCGTTTCCGATCTCTAGCTACACAGTAATTATTTCTTTCCTTTCGCCAAGAAACCACGGGTTACCATAGCACGTAAATTAAAGTTAACTGTCACGTGTGGTGTGTATCATCATCCTCATTATCATCATTATCGCTCGTTGGGCCAGTAGGTGCATAAGGCCGTCACATTGTCTGCCCAACCCCCCCTGTTGCGTACCTTCCATATCGCCTTGCCTTTTTTCCTCTTTCAACAGTCCCTCTCCAACTGGTCTTTGGTCTCCCTCTCGCCCTTTGACATTCTGGTGTCCACCCCAATACCGCAAAAAAGTCGTTCACACCCTCTCTCCTGAGTAAATGTCCTAAACAGTTCCACCTTCTTCTTCCCACCTCGCAACCAATTTTATTGGTGTCTGCCATTTCAACTACTCTCCTGTTTGTCATTCTTTGCTGCCATCTGGTCCTCAGTATCCGTCTTAGGCATAAGTAATGAAAACTTTTCAGTGTTCTTTCATCGGTCTTTGTGATTTTCCATGTTTCACAACCATGTAGCAGGACCGACCGGACTAAAGTCTTGAATTGGCACATCTTGGCTCTCTTTCCTATCCGTCTGGCTACCCACACCTTCCATAGCCTCTGGAATGCACCTCGTGCCTTCTGCATTCTGTTCCTAATATCTTCACTGCCTCCACCTTTCTTTTCTACAATAGCTCCAAGGTACGCAAACTCCTCGACTTCTTTCACTTCTTCACCATTCACCACAATGCTCTCCCTGTTCGTTGCAAACTCCATCCTCAGTGTCTTGCTGTTGTCTTCCTCATGATCCAATCCATAGCCAGTAGGAATAAGAATCTTGACATTACGCATCCCTGCTTTACTCTTGACAAAATCTTGAACCAGTCTGATATCTCCCATCCGTCGATTACGGCGCATTCAAACCCTCCGTATATCCCCACTACCACTCTCACCATCTTGCGCGGAATTCCATAGCTCCCCGTGGTGTTCCACGAGCTTACACACTTCTGGCCACCTTTTACTTTTCTAAAGCCTGTTATATTATCAGTCTGCCTACTTGCGGTGTATTCCATGTCAGCCCTTAGTAGGTCTGGGCCCTGGCTTTGCTTTCCTGAACGCATCCTTAACCTCTTGTATTCGCCATCTTCCTACATCGATTTCCTCAATCTACTCCAGTTCTTCTGTTTCTTCTTTCTCTTCCACTGGATTTGTGGGGTCATCTCTGTTTAAAATTTTACCCAAGTTCTGTACCCAGCTCTGCAATCTTTCTTGTGATTGTGTCTTATTTACCCCCAGTTTGTCTTTCGCACGCAATTCTCGCCTCCTCTGTTCCCGGCTATTGTCTTGGTTATGCTGTTTAGCTCCTCGTTTCTACAATTCTCAGCAGCTTTGTCTGCTGCTGTAGCCCTTTCCTCCAACCAATTCCTCTTATCCTCCCTAGCACTCTCTTTCACTTCCTTTTCTTTCGCACTGTACTCCTCTCTCTATCGCTGTTCAAGTCGTTCCAATCTCGCACCCTCTATATTAAGTTTTGCGTCTTACCCCTCCTGAATTTTTTCCCACGTCGTGTCTCCTATCCATGGCTTGCTCTCCTTTTTTACCTTCCAATAACTTTCTCTGTGGCATCTCTGTACGTCACCAAGATCTTGTTGTGCTTCCTTTGAATCTTCTATATCTCATATCGTTGCAAACCTGTTCTTCACTTTAATGTTATATCTCCTCCTGATCACTTCATTTTGCAACTAACACACGTCAAATCTCACACTTGTTTTCTTCTTCCCATGCGCCTTTGCCAACTTTAGTCTCATTCTGGTTCTCACCAGGTAGTAGTCACCATATACGTCTGCTCCTTCCATCACTTTCGTGTCCAGAATCGATGTTCTCATGCGTCCATTCACAAAGACATGGTCGAGCTGGTTAACAGTCTTCCCACCTGGTGACTTCCAGGTCAGCTTATGGATCTCTTTCTGTAGGAAACTGTTCCACTTACAACTAAGCCATTCGTACCACAGAGGTCACATAACCTTTCCCAATACCATTCATGACTCCGACACTAAATTTCCTCAGTACCTCCTCTCTGTCAATGTTGTTACTCCCGTAAGCGTTCAGGTCTCCCATCATCAAAATCATATCATGACTACTGCAGCTTGCAACAGAGTCTAGCAGTTGATTGTTAAGTTCATCCTTTCCCTCGTCCATCGTATCGTCTGTTGGTGCATATGCTTTTATTACCGTTAGCTTTTTTGTTTTGAGTAGAATCTTGCCTTAATGGTCCTCATGCAGATTGGCATCCATTCCATTAAGGCTCTCTTTGTCCTCACACTCATCATGATGGGGACTCCTCCTTGTTGCATTCCCTTATCTCCCACGTACGCCACCCTCTCACTACCTTGCAGTGTTCTTGATCCCATCAGCATGCTTGAACTAAGGGAAAAGTTATCCTTGATGTTAGGAGACTTACAATTTAGCTTTTGTAAGATTACCATCACCAATTACTTCACAAGCTGAAAAAAACTACCAGCTCAGCAGAAGACGATAATCGTACAGCTTAAAAACTCCCTTGTCATTGACTTCGACCATGAGTTCCCTACGTAATTTTGTTGTTGGACTGAGTGATTCAGTGTCAACATTTTAACCTAGTTTTTTCTCTCTAATATGCGAAGGAGCCAAATCAGATGAGATCTGTCAAGTTCCATATTTCAGTTCGACTGTGTCTCGAAAAATACCTATCGTGGAACCAAGTGAACACTGAAAGAGTGAACACTGAAAGAAAGAAACAAATTAAGAAATAAGGAAGCAAGAAGATGGTTTCTTTCACATATAAACCGTATCCTTGTTGCTCTGAACACTTTTCTGTATTATACTGACGTTAAGTTATGAGTGACAGTGGATCTTTACCACTCTCTTTTCCTCCCTTTTATTAGCCCTTGACTCCATCGAGCAAATTGTTTTGAAAGCCAGAGTTTTTCAATTGCCCTTACTTCCTCTCTAAAATATAATTGACATGTATCAGCGAAAATATCTTGGTAGGTAAATAAATATTCACACCAAGTACCACAAAACCTTTAAAGGATCAGCAAAAGTATAGCGACCTACTCACATAACCGAATTGGGTACTAACATAACTATGGTTTTAATAGGATGTAACTGATAATGGCCACTCGGTTGAAGTACACCACAGAGCAACTGAATTACTACAGGATTTGTTACGTTGTCACTGACATACTAACTGAGGGTCTGCGAACCATCTTCAAACAAGAATGGGACAATCGATACAAGACAACAACGGGAGAATGGAAAGATCAACCCAAAAATGGAATGGACTTCTGGAATGGCGAGTCTACTCGAAACAGAAAAAGAAACGCTGGGCTGTTGACAACCATGAAGAATGGCGATAGGGCTGAGTGGGATTGTACCATGCTGTTTTACGCTATCCTGTATTCAGACTGCATATATTCACTCAATCCATCAATTAGATCAAATGTGGACGACCTAAGGAAATTTCGAAATGAAGAATTTGCACATATGCGACAGGGCCACCTCTCCAACGGAGATTTCCAAATTGTTATTACAAAGGTTAAAACTGCATTCCACGCACTCGGTCTCCCGACATTGAAAATCAGTGAAGTTCAAAATCAGACAAACTTCTTAACAGAGGAGTTAGACGACGTTTTTAGGAAGGTGGACGACTTGAAACAAGAAGTTAACAAGAAGGAAAAGGAAGTTCTAGAAAAGGACAAGGAAGTTCAACAAAAAGAAGAACAGAGGCTTGCCTTAGAAGAGCAATTACATTCCGATGTCTCTCCATTTTGCATTCTCCCTCCCAAACCTAACCACGACATCGCTCCTCGGGAATCTGAAGTTGGTGAAGTTTTACAAAACCTCCAGACACTAAAAGACGCCAATGATGGGTTGAGCATACTGTATTTGTCAGGAAATCCAGGAAGTGGAAAATCTCAGCTGGCCCGTTTAGCAGCCAAGCGATTTTACGACGAGGTCGAACAAATACCTTCCGCAGCTTCATTTGTCATGACATTGAATGCTGAAAATTCAGAAGCACTTTTGAAATCGTATGTCCTTTTCGCTCAACATTGCAAATGTCCCGGGTATGAAATAACAAACACTTACCGCTCCAAGGATTTGAACACAGACGAGAAGATTTCATATTACAAGACCTTAATAAGTACAAAAATTGAGCATTACGCTTCATGGCTGTTGATAGTTGATAATGTGACCAGCGTATCTCGTACAAGCGACTATTTGCCCGATGCAGACAGCGAGTTGTGGGCAAGGGGTCAGATGCTAATAACAACACAAGACACTGCGTCTATGCCGTTGTCAAGCTCTTCCATACGAAATATCTCACTCAGCGCTGGAATGCATCCTGATGATGCATGCTTTCTGCTGAACCTCCTCACTGGAACCACGGATGTCGAGATTATAAAAGAAACTGCGAAAGTACTCGACTACCAGCCACTTGCCTTGGCAGGCGCAGCTACGTATGTAAGACAAGTTCGTCAGAATAAAGCAACCTCGAAGTTTGGCTGGACCGACTATTTGAAGAAATTGGAAATGGGGAAACGAAGTGCTACTGAAAACATTCTTGTTGAGACAAATCCATGCTATTCAAAGTCCATGACCAAAGCAATAACACTCGCCGTCGAAAAGGCGATGGCAGATGACATAATTTGGCATCGCACGTTCCTTTTTTCTCTCAATGTGTGCATCACAGCCGATCCTGCAAGACATTATTACCGAGTATATCAAAGCAACTGATGACGATTTTGAAGATGAAGATATGATAAGAACAAGGATGAGTCGATGTTCACTGTTGCTAATTGAAGAAGAATCAACTGGTGTTTATATTCGAGTCCATGGTGTCGTTCTTGATGTTATTAAATCTGCGACAAAAGGTTTCGCAAAGGATCAAAGCTACAAAGTGGTGTATGGCGCAGTAATGTCTTTCTCAAAATTTGAAGAGCTAGAATCTATTGTTGTGGGAACAAGAATAGTTCCCCATCTTCAAACGTTGAGCTTAAAAATTGAAGACATGTCACTCCGGAAAGGAATACCAGAAGCGACCGAAAGAGCCTTGTGTAATTTTCTGCATGGCCTTTGGAGCCTTAATTACATGTGCCGAAACCATAGTGAGTTTAGAGCGGCGCTAGTCTATGGTAAATGGCTGTTAAAAATTCAGATGAAACAGCTGGGACCTGAGCATGTTGATGTTGCAAGGTGTTACAACAATCTGGGTAATTTACACAGTGATCTGGGCGACACAGATGAAGCAAAAGACTGCTATAAGCGTGCACTGGAGATTCGTCTGAAAAAGCTGGGCCCTGAGCATGTTGATGTTGCAAGCTCTTACAACAATCTGGGTACTTTACACAAGGCTCTGGGCGACACAGATGAAGCAAAAGACTGCTATAAGCGTGCACTGGAGATTCGTCTGAAAAAGCTGGGAGCTGAGCATGTTGATGTTGCAAGCTCTTACAACAATCTGGGTAATTTACACAGTGATCTGGGCGACACAGATGAAGCAAAAGACTGCTATAAGCGCGCACTGGAAATTAAGATGAAACAGCTGGGACCTGAGCATGTTGATGTTGCAAGGTCTTACAACAATCTGGGTAATTTACACAGTGATCTGGGCGACACAGATGAAGCAAAAGACTGCTTTAAGCGTGCACTGGAGATTCAGATGAAACAGCTGGGACCTGAGCATGTTGATGTTGCAACCTCTTACAACAATCTGGGTACTTTACACAAGGCTCTGGGCGACACAGATGAAGCAAAAGACTGCTATAAGCGTGCACTGGAGATTCGTCTGAAAAAGCTGGGAACTGAGCATGTTGATGTTGCAAGCTCTTACAACAATCTGGGTAATTTACACAGTGATCTGGGCGACACAGATGAAGCAAAAGACTGCTATAAGCGCGCACTGGAAATTAAGATGAAACAGCTGGGACCTGAGCATGTTGGTGTTGCAACCTCTTACAACAATCTAGGTACTTTACACAAGGCTCTGGGCGACACAGATGAAGCAAAAGACTGCTATAAGCGTGCACTGGAGATTCGTCTGAAAAAGCTGGGAGCTGAGCATGTTGATGTTGCAAGGTCTTACAACAATCTGGGTAATTTACACAGTGATCTGGGCGACACAGATGAAGCAAAAGACTGCTTTAAGCGTGCACTGGAGATTAAGATGAAACAGCTGGGACCTGAGCATGTTGATGTTGCAACCTCTTACAACAATCTGGGTACTTTACACAAGGCTCTGGGCGACACAGATGAAGCAAAAGACTGCTATAAGCGTGCACTGGAGATTCGTCTGAAAAAGCTGGGAACTGAGCATGTTGATGTTGCAAGCTCTTACAACAATCTGGGTACTTTACACAAGGCTCTGGGCGACACAGATGAAGCAAAAGACTGCTATAAGCGTGCACTGGAGATTCGTCTGAAAAAGCTGGGAACTGAGCATGTTGATGTTGCAAGGTCTTACAACAATCTGGGTACTTTACACAGTGATCTGGGCGACACAGATGAAGCAAAAGACTGCTATGAGCGTGCATTGGTAATTTTTAGCTCCAAGTATGGTCAAGAACATGTAAGGACACTAGAGGTCAGGGGGAACTTATATCGTCTAAAACAGAAAAGAAAGAGAGTTGATGACCCTGGAGCTGTTTTGAAAAAGAAGAAAAGAGTCTCGTGTTAATAGTTTAGTAACTGTGCTGATTGATAGACGTTGTTGGTCTTTAATTTAGGTTTACTCGTTGTGTTTTCTTTGCACGTGAGAACTTAGACCGTTATAATTTTTTTATAATATCTTGCATAATTTGTGCTTTTAATATTCCGATCTGGAAACTCGCACAATTGATATGGTTTTTTTTTATTTCTGAACAAGTAGTTCATTACTTTCTCATTTCTGAGGTTGCTACAAAAGGTTGTAGTTCGACGGATAATCAACAGTCAGAATATGCACCCAAGTAAAGAAATTTTTAAGTTGCTAATCATTGCTGCTTTTTCAGGATCGTGCTCTTTTAAATTGATGATTTTTATTCATATTCATAATTAAGAGAGAGTATCCATAAAAGTGGTCCGGCCGATCTAGCTTGAAAAATAGATTTAGCTGATTTCTTGTACATTGAAAGACTTTCATGTCCTTATTCTAGAACCACAATCCACTTCATCTGATCTTTAAAATTTATCGAGTTATGAGAGATTTTCTGATCACCCCA